CTTGTTTGAAAACTTTCCTTTTCAAAATTATTAAGCAAAAAAATTATGCAAAACTTTACCTTCCTAGTGTTAACACATGAGTAAACTGTGGGTTTTCAACAAAAGAGTACTCTTCGCTGTCTATTCCTTCACTTGTACAATCGCCTTCCTACAAATTTTCAAGTCCAATAATGGAATTAATCAAATACTGTTAATTTTTTTGAAGATGATGATACTAAATATAAATGAATAATATACACAAATATTGCGCGCATACCAATATGAAATCGTACACAGCGTTTTCATTACATTATATTCTGATATTAAAGAATCGAAAAAATTTTAAAAAGTTATAAAGAGTGTAAAGACGAGTTTAAAACGTTTAAAAATATAAGAATTTTGTTAAAAATTAAAAGCTGTGAAGAGCATTCCAAAAACTGAAAGTAAAAGTAGATTCATAAGCTATGAAAACCAATCAAGAATAAATAACACAACATCAACAAAATATACCTCTTGAGCTAATTTTGCATTACTTCGTCTTCCTCCTGATGCTTTTCGTTTACTTCTTCCTTTATGTGAATAAAATAATTCCCCAAGATTCTTGCCTTGTATTGTAGGATGGTACAAATTAACAAGAAACGGTACAGTAGAAACGTTTGTAAGCTCTACTCGTACCAGATTACCACAACTATTCACCAAATTTTGAAATGCACTCACTTTCTCTGCTGTCAAGTCATTCATATCAACATCTGCAACATATTATCAACTAAAAAACATATGTTGATTTCAAAATCATTCAACTACTGAAGCCACTAGCTACAAACTGATTTGCTTTAATACCTCAGAGCAAAAATTTCTTCAATAAAAATCCATATAAACTATACTGTTATGAACTACCGCCTTAATAAGAATATATCCAATCAAAACCCTTCGAAAAATTTTGACGAAAAAATATCTGTTAACCACGTTTGATAACGAGGTATAAAAGAGCAGCGCTTGGTTCAAAATACTTTTCCTTCTTTGACAGGATTGTAATACCTTGCATTCGACAACGTAAAGCAAGAGGAGGTAAACGTCCAAATACTTTTAAGAGAGGTCGAATATCCTGTATACTGACTATATTATCAATACCAACATCCACAAGATCCACTATTACATCGTTTCCTTTAGTCAATTTTAAGATTTTCGCACGCACCCAATCAACATTATTGAGCAAAACTACACATGCTGCACCGATGCATAACTTAAATAACGATTACGTTTTATTTAAAACTAAACAATTCATTCTTCTTTAAACTTATGATACAAATTTTTAGCATGCATTTTATTCGAATGATTTTTTTCGGCGAAAATTAATTGCAAAAGAATCATACTTCATCACGAATAACCACAAAATCATTTCTCTCGTCGTATGTAGTTTGAAGTTGCTGATACAATCGCTTGCGAGCTCGACACAATGCTTTTGGCTACAAAAAAATTACTTCGGCACTAAAAAGAAATTTTTTTCCGAAGCATCACCATACAGTACTTTACTTTATAAGAATTATTATGATACTGGCTCTTAGTTTATTTTACAAATTCATTAATTTTCATTCGAGGGTTGAAAAAAAAAATCCAAAGGCTTTTACAATGAAGAACTGAAAATATGATCAACTGAAACGATACCAAACAAAATTAATACATATTAATTAAAAGAATATCAAAATTAGTAAAAAAATACCCAGAAAAATAAAATTTTTGGTTATTAAAATAGTGCATACATGTATACTGAAGTCATAAGGTGAAAATGAATTCGGTAGTTTTGCATAAAAAATTGGGAGCGTAGCAGTAGATTGTCTCGCAGGAGCATTTTTAATACCGGCCATGTAGCAGTGATATTGCGTGATTACGTGCGCTTCAGCATATTTCCAGCAATATTGAGGAAATGACTCCGCCAAACCTAAACAGATCATAAAATGTGAAATAATCAAAAAATGCTACAAATATTACTAAGTCCCAAAACTTTATAGACTTCAGAGTAAATGTTACCACCATTGATGGATTTATAAATTCATACTGTTCTACGGTTTCAGATATAGACTGCGTGTCAAAATTTAAGAACAAATCGGTGGCAGGAAAAATAAATCCATAAACTCTTATTTTTCCATCAAAAATAATGCTCTAGAGCATCATTTCTTGGTGCTATATTTAGATATTTGCATAACTATCAAGCAAAAACAAAATGATTATGCAAAAGAAAAAATTAGTACTACCGGAAAATTATAGGCATTAATATGCACAAACTGTGATCGTAAAAATTATTCCACCTTCTTCATATACAAATTCATATAAAATTCTAATGATATACTTACATCTCAATTTCCATTCCGATCCACCTGGCACTTCCACCAAATCACGACAATCGTTACAACTCACTTTACTCATGTCATTGACTAAACGCGATTCGAACCCATTCCCTACATCAGCGATCAAACTCCCTTCGGGTAATGACTTCCGCTGAGGAAAAGAAGAGTCTGTCATATTCGGCCCTGAACTTGGAAACCTTAACTTTTTTTACTCAAATTTAATGAACTGCAAATGCCGACACTTCATTAACTCATACGCAATGTAAATCTACGAATACCATATAAGTTCGCAAGTAGTCAAAAGGAAAGCGTTACTCGTAACCTGCAAACCATGTATACCAGATCTGAACTCAACATTGCCGTATGCCGCTACATTTCGCGAAGTTGAAGGGATGAAAATAGGTGATAACGATTTTGAATACTGCTTTTTGCGGTACGACCGATTGTTTCACATTCTATGTTGAGGTTCATCTTACATTTGTTCATTTTACTTTTACAATCTTCCTCAACATTTCCGACACGCTAATTTGAAATTATACAGCCAAATTTCAAAGGATATGAGAGTTTAAGGAAACATAACCACAGTAGTTGAAACAAACAACACTCTACTTTTACGTAATTTCACTTCGCACAGTGCTTTTTTCACGATATTTACACGAAATACTTCCCTATGGCACAGAATTCGTTTTATTACGTTTGAAATGCCTTCTAATCATAATTGGGGCTATCCGAAAGTTATGCGAAATATTTGAAAACCAGCCATCAAAAGCGTACCAAGAAGTTAAATATACATTATAAAGTAAAATGAATGCAATGCAATTGCTATAGAAACCAATACGAAAATTACATTTATAAACTACATGCCATCACGCATGCAAAACTAAAAATTATGTTCAGAAGCAGCATCGAAAAGTGGATCTAATTGTTGAATATTATCATCTTCGTATTCCTCAAAAGCTTTTTCAAAATCATTGTATTCAATACGCGAGCTGACGAGTTCGGAGTGCTGAAAACAACAATAATTTATGCATGCAAGTTTTTTATTACAATCACGATATTCTTCATTCACGTCCTACAGAGAGAGAAAATCACATTCACAGCAAATATCGCAACCAAAAAAGTTTTGAAAAACAACATGAGTTTCTCTCCTTGTTCATCAAAAAGTTCAATTATCAATATTAGAAATGTCCTTCTACATAGTATATTTGAATTTGTTTTGAGAAATATTTGACCGAAAATGCTAGAAAAAATCTAATGCTATGCCTAGGTAATCTTCAAATAACACAATAACGAAGAATCAATAACCTCAAGAACCTCTGATGGCTGAACAGATGGAAATTGTTGCGTTTCATTATCCCTACTTGCGTCCTGGTCTTCAACAATAAGTCTAAATTTGCGCATCACTAATGCCTCAACTTCTGGGTCATTGAAAGACAACATTTCGGAAACTCCTAAATCACTCTCTTTCCTGTCATCCGGATCATTCTCAGATACAGATGAACTACTTGAACTCATCATAGTTCTGTTCTCTTGACCAGCTGGAAAATCATCGAACTATATTCCACAGTAAATTATGCAAGAAAAAACCCTACAACAATGTGAATCAAATGATATTTTAATTTCTTGGTAATTCAAAATAAAAAGACTTATGATTATATTTATCGAAACATTCAGATGGAATTACAAAAACATAAGTATTCATACTGAAGTTAAAGTTAAATATCAAGAGAACTCAATGAAATATGGTGGTAGAATGAGAGTTACCATCTTTCTTTTGTTTGGCACAACCAGCAGAAACACCTTCCGGTAATATAACAGCAGGAACAGATCCAATATATCTCATGTTCATGCTACTAACTTTGCCACCTTTATTTCTTGGTTCCTGGCGTGGTGCTAAGCTCTCAAGCTGAAACTAGTAGTTTTGCATGTGAGAAAATTTTAATCAGTGGAAATTATAAACAGTGGAATCAAAACGAGACATATAGAGCCATGGATCCTTCGAATTTAAGATAAAAAATATGTAGCGATTTAACTCTAATAAAAATTATTCTATACATCAATACTTTCACCTTGCTGAATCAAAATATGAGAGTGGAAAAATACTGACATCTGAAATGCCAAGACGATGAGCAATTTGTACACGTAAAGCACTAGAGTCAACCATCTCTTTCAGCTCTTCTAAATTTGCTTTCTCTTTTTGACCCTTTTGTTTCTGCCTCATGCGCTGTACAGTTCGTTGCTGCTTTATAGGTATTGATGGCTCGAATTTCATCATTTTACGCTTACACAACTCGGAAGAAAGAGCATCTATATATTCAGTACGATTGTATCGTAAGTTATAATTAGTCACCTGAATTAATTACTTGATAATTTACATAGAGCCGTAAAATAGGTTCAAAATAAAGAAGTAAGTGTCTAAAAGCATCAAATTATATTTATCCTTCTGTTGTCTGTCAGATTCATAAAAAAATTACAAATGCGTCTAAATTTGTACGTCCTCCTAAATGTACTGGTCGACGACAATTCCACGGTTCAAATATATCTTTCGGTAACATTTCAGGATAAAACTTTGTAGGACAACCTTTTCTAAAAAAATAATAATAGTTCGTTTTTTAATTAATTTAATATCTGCAGATATTTATATTTTGAATCAATTACGAATAAAGCTCATTTGCTTCCAATTTCCTACTTTCAATAGTGTATTTTATTAATATAATCAGTACATTATACCGGACTATTTTTATGTGATAAAAAAACAAAAATGTCATGAGCTTTATTCCTAATTGATAGATCCAAAAATTACCTGCTACTATACTCCGATGAAAGGTCAAACTTTTAATTTCAGGATCAAACTATGATCTTATTCTGCATTCAATAAAGCTAACATTATTTAAAATATAGAATACTGCATTACTCTATATTTAGGATAATACAAAATTCTATATTCATCCCAAAACAAACAAAATGTTAACATCCATTAATATTTCTATTTTTTAATTGTAAAGCCACCAAACACTTAAAAACACAGCCATTACTGATTTTTTGATAATTCAAGGATCACTCACGAAATGGAAATTTGTGGAACTCCACCTAGCTCCTTTCGATCTTTACCATTCTTGATACAATTTTTTAGAACCATTTCTACATCAGCAATACACTTCTCATTTCTAGATAGGCATAATGATAACATTGATTTATTTTGATGTTCTTTTCCAGCTGAGATATGAACATTCATATCCAATTCATCGCGACAAGTATTTAATGTTCCGCAATCAATTTTCCCTAAACATTATCATTTCGGAAATTAAGTTAATACGAGCAATATCACGAGAAGTAGCTTACCCGAGCTTTTAACAATTTTTATCGGTCGTCTTTCTTTAATCTCTCGGCTTCTTTTCAATACCTGCGACTCTTCAGCTAAGTTATGAAGCTTCCTGCGTCCAGAACATTGTTCCTTATCTTCTGATGGAACGGTATCTAGCACATGCTCCTTTGTTTTTACACTTGGTATCGAATCATTTTCCGCAGATACCTTAGCAATCATTTCCTTCATCAACGAAACTATCACCCAGGCATCATTAACAAATTTAGAATTCTGTTGTTCTTCGTTCTGCTCTCTAAAAGCTTCTTTTAATTTTGAAATATGTTCCGACCCTACCATTTCACAATTCGTTGATGGAATCAAAAGAGAAATCCTATCTTTTGAATTGCTAGTTTCCGAGAGAGTCATACTTCTATCTGCCTCATCAAATCCTTCAAAAATTGACTGATATCTTCGTTTTTTAGCTCTCAAATTCGTGGATATGTGAGAGTAACGCCCGCATTCTCCAACACTTTGATCACTGAACAAAATATCTTGTTTCGATAATAGCTGTAAAACTTCTCTTTCATCATTAGGTTGTGTTCTTTGAGATAACTGCTTCAACTGCTCACTCGACAACTCACTTGACAAATATTGGATAGGGGAAAATGAACACGAATTGGAAGACATATTTGCTGAACACTGTCTTTGTTCATGCATCGTTTTTTTTCTTTTCATGTACTCCAAACTTTCCCTATCATTGCTTATTTGAGCTGACACATTTGAATGCGTGTTCACATATGAATTCAGAACTAATGTAGAATTTTCTTCTTCCTCATCGTCTTCATCAATTACTACGTTCCGAAAAGGAATTTCTAAGTCTTGAGTGTTAACGTCAGATGAGGCCTGCTGAAAAAATTGAAAAATATTCTAAAAATCTACGGCAAAAATGATTGCTTATCATTTAAGTATCACAAAATTAAAAAAAAATTTACCAACAAACAGCTTACTAAAAAAATTTACTAACAAAAACAAGTTACTAAACTCACTTCTCCTGATGAAAGAAGCATGTTGGAAAATGAATCCCGGCTGCATTCTTCACTTTGTGTTTGCAGACTTCCAGGTTTCAACGAACTACTACGAGTGGAACAATGGGAGGAGGGTGTCACTGCTCCGGAACCTCTCTGACAATACATAAAGTTAAAAAAAAAATTCAAGAGAACCGAAACGCTGAAAAAAAAATTTAGAGGAAGTATTAACTTTTTTTGAAGCTAGAACTTTTTTCTGATCCAACTCGTCACGGAAAACGTTTGGATATAAATACCATAAACGTTGTGGCAACAAATGGATATTTGGCAACGGTATGTATCCTTTTTTCATTTGTTCCTCTGTTCTTTTTGTCCAAAAAACATCTCGTGGCACCCACAAAGGGAAATGACAACTCTAAAATGAATAAAACGAATATTATTTCTGATGGATTTCGGAAGTTCTAGTGATTCCATTTTGTTTACTACAAGTATCACTTACAAGGGAATGCATATTAATTTAAGAAACAAACAAAAATGTATGTACTTTAAAAATAAAGAAATGCGATGTTTCTGATTTACAGTAAGTCGTAATGAAATGTAAAGTAATGTTTGAACGCCTTATCTTTGAATACAACCTTAGACAGAAAGCAAATTCTCAAATCCTACATAACTCGAAATAGTATTACTAGACTTCCTACTTTAGCATTTTTAATTTAAGTAGCTGGAAAGCCACAATAACAGTTTAATTAAAGACATTAATTAACTCACACCTTATATTTTCTACTAACTTGCCCACAACATTCACAAATTTAAGACAAGGTAACGAACTTGACTTTTTATCCCTCGACACGTCCACCATATCCGCTGATATGTTTGCCCATCTTCTTGAAAAAGATCAAGTTCAAGAGCCTCCAGTCGTTCCGGGCATTCAGGACACTTGAGTATATCAAAGTCATATGCCTATTTTGAACAAACCAATTCTTACCGCATACTTTGTAGAGGTGATATTCAGTACCACGTATAGATCACATAATTACTTTTTTCAGTTCAAACATCACTACTACGAAGCGAATATTAAAGATTTCTCATAGTTTTCAATAAACTATGCAAAAAGTCAGATGCCAACTATGATGGCACACAAAAAATGTGAATGTGAAGAACAGATTCTTACGTAATTTTTATTTCGTAACTGTGAGAAAAGCAATGCAGTGACTTCGTCCAAATCTGAAGAAGCATTAGCAGCAGCTTGTGAAGTCATACTTGATTCTCAGATCAAATCTTCACCTTTAGTGAGTCATTTGCACAGGTGAAAATTTTCATCATAAAATCATCGACAAGAGGATTAACGAACATACACCCCATTCAACACTGCATTCTGAAGTATGCTCTTCATTGTCGCCAAGCGACTCTGATAACTTTTCTCTCTATACAAACACAGGAAACCACCCGAATTTAGTATTAATAAATTAAAAGCAGCTTGCAATTACATGGAATTATGATTAATTTACTGAAAATGACTGTAATACGCTTTTACAACAAAAACATCATAAGTTAAGGGGACTGACATAAGTTTTGTCAGATGCCTAAATAACCGATAAGCTGTCACCACCGTTAATAAACTATAGAGATCTTTTTTAAAACTAGTCAATCATAAAAACAATGAACAATTCACAAAACATTAAAAACATACCATTTTAAAACCGAAAAAACTAGCAAATCCTTCCGACAAAGTACTGATCTTTCTTCGAAACAATTCTAAAAATCAAAACCATCATATTCCTCCTCGACCTTAAAACTGAATTCACAACTTCTAACTTCAGAAAAATTTCTTGCAACTATCAATTTGAAAGTTTAATACAATAGAACCCTCACTTAATCCCTTTAGGTTCTTAAACCTGTAAAGTTGTCCTTTCTTCTGATAACTCATTACACCCATAAACCAGCACCTAGACTTAAGATGTCACAAAAACCAACCCGAAAAGAACAGAAAAAAGAAGCAGTCACTAAAAACTAATGCATGACAACTGATTCCTTACGGAAATAATTTGAAATTATATACTAGTACTTTTGAATTATATATTAATACATCAGTGAAGAAACTGAGGTATGATATTACGCATTCCAGCGAGATCTGTATCATATAAAGTTAAGCAAATCAGTTCTTAAAAAGCTATAATTTCATATTTTTTTAATCATGGAACAAAGTTACATTAGCTAACATAACAAACTACTGAAAACGAAAATCATAAAGCAGACATCGCACAAATACGCATATACAGCCAAGTAATTTTAAGCACAAAGTGAATTAAGGATGAAACGCATGAAACACAAACAAATTCAAGTTTATACAAACTAATCACAAAAAAAGGATAGTGAACAAACTATACTGATAAAACTGATTGGTTGACCTAATTCAAAGTTACAAACAACAGGCCTAGAAAAATTATAAAGAATTCATACAACTTGTAGTGAAAGCAAAAGCAAAATTAGAAACTTTATTACCTAATACATAAATGGACTCTAGTACGGTTTTAGAAACAAAGTTCTACTGTCACTCGGATCGAAACTATGAAAGTAATGAAAAAGATACTGCTAATGGGAAAGAAATGCGTTATTATATATCAGTATTATTTTTATGAAGAAACGCTGCAATGAAGCAAATGAACTCAGGATGAGAACTGATCGCAGGTCTGTCTTTTTTCACTCAAGAATCTCAAATTCATCATAACTGTCGTTGATCTCACCAAGATCTGTGTAATCTGAAAAGCAAATTTATTCACTAATGGCTGGGTTTGCAAAGAATTCAGTTCATTGACTCCTAAAGAAAACCAGTAATATAAAATTATAAACGCAGATGTAAAACAAACGAAAAATGCAACTGGGTAAGCGTAATAATAAATAGTACACAAATCTAAAAGAAGAACAAAAGTTCAAATATCTCACCTTGCAACTTCGTTTTTTCTCCAACATATGGAACAAAGGGTGGAAAATTCTTCGGTCTCGTTTCCAACATCTCAAACAACGGTGGAGTTGAAGCAAGCAACAAACGCTATAAATATTATATATCAACAGGAATAAAATATTCTTATGTTGACATAATGCAATATATGTTAAGCTCGACGTGATAAACTTCAAACTGCAACTGTAAAGAAGTACCGTTCGAAGCTGATCAGCTAATTCATTATAATCATCTTCAGTACGGCAAAGAAACGCGATTGCCAATGAAGGATCCATTTTATCGAATTTCGTACTTAAAATAAATGGACAGTGATAAGTGGTGTCATCAAATTCTTCCATGCTAATCTATAAAGTAACAAATGAATCAATGAAAAATAAAAAATTTGGCAGCCAGTCAAAAAAAAATTACAAAAACTTCATTACCACAACATAACCATCTTTTTTCTCGGTGGTTGTCACAATCTTTTCTAGATCCACATAATTCTGACAGAAATGAGGATCAAGATAAAGTAACTGAAAAAAAGAACACATAACTTGGAATATTGAGACTTAACAATTTGAAGAGAAAATAAGATTTTCGAGTTAAAAAGACTATATCTTGAAAAAAGAAATAAAAGTGTTCTCATAAGAGTTACCGTGAAAATAAGAACAATCTTGCCAAACAGAGAATTACCTATATCAAGTATATTATGTGACTCACGTTATCATCTGCGATCCCAACGAAATAGAGAGCATGATTGGGTCGACCGCCAATTATGCCAACGCATTGAGGCAATGCGAAAAATACCTATAGAAAAAAAAACACCGTGTAATATTTGAAAATACACTTTAAAAAGCTATTATTTTGTTCAAAACTCATATTTGTTCAAGTTAACAATTTGTTCGAATTTAGACGATTGCAATGATAATCACGATTAGGTTTAAACATGTTAAAACTTAAAAGTCAAATAAATGACAACATTGAAAACGAATAGTTAAAACGATGATAAAATAAAATCATACTTCAAAATTCTTGCTTTGAAGCTGCAGTAAGTGTTTGGGATTAAAATTACCTTTTAAATGCGTAAAAATCAACTCAAGAGTGAAACCTGAATAGCAGAAAGGTAACAAGCGTTGATTGTATTTAGACCTAATCGAAGAGGAATGATGATTAGCAATGGCCGCCATTCTTCACAAATACCACTGCAACTACTTAATGAAGTTTCACTTCGAGACCGAGAAATGGTTAATTCTGGAAACCAATCTGCATCTGAAAATATTCACTATTTATCACAAGAAATTTTAAAGTATTTAAAGGTTGTAGAATTACATGAACGAAATATTTACCTGTGGCGGAGCCAACAATATCATGATTATCATTGCAATCGTTGCTCAGATGAAGAGATCTGAAATCAATATGAGATGGAAATAGAAACAGCACAGATAACGAAAAAAATAAGTAAATTAGTTATTAAGAGGAATGTTTTGTATTGAAGGAGATATAAATTTCCTTCTGTAAAATAAGTCTTCGAAAGATTATAAAATTACCCAGATTTAAGTTGAGGAGGCTTAGTGCAAGCCATAGTACGTACATCACTAGTTATCAGAACATTATCAAGCGCTACGTGAACCGCCAATCGCGACCACTGATCATATACTGCTAGTTTTTTCAAGACCTGAGCTACTGTATTCGGACCGAACCACTCACCTATTTGTTTACCTTCTGATACTCCCATGTGAGCTGAAAATAGAAATTTTTATACTACTAGGAAACGGAAACATGAAGTCAATAAATTTAGTTTCGTATTTCAGATATATTTTCAGAGTCAAAGAGCACAAAAAACTGAAAAAACCTCCAAAAGTTTATCGACTTTAAAAAATAGTGAGAGCCACAAAAAATTGCAACTACTTTCATGACTGAATATTACTAGAAAGCTCTTGAATTTAACTTAAACTAAGCTATCTCTTAAATACAAACTAATAGAAATTATCGTACCTATCTGATGTATTGAAAATAGACAACTTTTTTTATCTTGAAACATGCGCAAGATGCGCATATACTCAGTAGACTTCATATTTCGATTCCAAAACCAACTGTAATTTAAATGTCGTACTATCAAAGCTTGAGCCAACAACATCTGACCACAGCGCAACATACAACCCCACCCTTGATCAGTTGTTGGTCCAGTGCCACCTATGACAAACTCAAGGATAAAGCAAAACAAAATTTCGAAAATTAGAAGGTGAAATTCCCGAATATTAAAAAAGAAACGAAGTTGAACGGAATAATCAATGAAATATAGGTGCAAAACAATGCAAAGACGGATTTCCAAAAATGCCTATCTTTCTCTTTTAAATTTATATAAGAAAAATTGTATTTGCTCATTAGAAATAACTTACCAATAGGCTGAAAATTTTTTCGATATGTAAACCATAACAATGATGACATCGATTCCTTGATCTGTTCCATATCTGGCAATAAAGAATAAATATTTGTCTACTCCGCACAATTAGGGTCTTGTTTATTAGCTCAGAAACAAAGAAAATTTTATTTTCGTAAGTGTGAAATTGTGAAAAAAAATAAAAGGCAATCACGAAGTAATACTTTTAATAAAATGGACTTGTTTTGAAAATAAAATTTGGGTACACCAATCGCTGTAAGTAACTCAAACTAAAATATATTTCATGACACATTTAATCTCTACATAACCATTAATAAAAAGATTTAATTCTTAAAACTTTTGTTACCTTTTCGCGAAGCATATTTCCTACCAAGTAAGTAGACGGGAAAATTTGAATCAAATAATGCATAATTTTGCATATCCGAAAAGCTAGGATCAAGCGTGAGACAAGTTTCCAACATTTTCCTCACTGATGGCTTCCATTCGGTGAACAATTTTCTGAAAAAAAAGGAATGCAAGCAACCTTATATTGATATTGAACATTCATTTCCTCAATCGACAAAATAACTGGCAATAGAAAATTATCTCCTAAAACCATGCAAAGGAATTGAAAAAGTGCAAGAATCAAGTACCTTCACACATTTTCAGTTCTTTTTATTTATATCGCTTCAGTTAAGGTGCGTAAAACTTTTTACGCAAATATAAGATTTATCTGAGTGAAAATTTAAGATGTGTTCATGAGACAGAGGGACATAAGACTAGCTTGTTCTTTTCAAAGACCAGTTTGTAAGAACTTTGATAATGGAAGTGACCCTTACAATTAGAGGTATGATAGAAAACAATTCAAAATATAGTAATGCATATTTTTTTGATTGAAAATGTTCCTTAATGTTCTTCAATTCTACGAATACACTGACATGAAAACCACATGATACTTGCTTCAAATAACAAAACTGAAAGATTCTGACATCAGAATAAGACATACTTTGCATCTTCATGTACTTTCTCCTTCTTCACTTTTAATCCAGCTAACATCACCTGTCGCAAAAACTTTTATATCGTCAACCGCGAAATTTAGAAATTTGCCAATCCACATATTTCATTCCGAAAAATTCAAAGAACTGAAACAAATTGATTTCATATTTCACATTTTAATTACTAAATTCACATCAGGCGACTCGTACGTGCCCTAAGCAACAGACTACCTGTAGTCTACACGAAGATCTTACAATCCATGTCAAACTGAACACACAAAAAAAGTGACTAAGAATCACTCCCCAAAAGTGAGTGAAATCACAATTGCTCTGCTGCACAAACAAGAGCTAACTTTTTTGTATGTTCGTCTGGTCCCAAAATCTTTCTTGGATCTATATTTCTCTCCCAAACTTGCGTTTTGCTTTCTTCAATGATAACACTGGTTATGGATTTCCACGCACAACATGGATTATTGTTTTCGTAAAACATGACTACATTATCGTACGCGTAGGTGTCAAGCCGGTGTTAGCATACGTAATTTCATTACAAGTGAAATTCAGCGTACTACATATCATTTTATAACGCCAGAAATATACATAATTATGCTTTTATCTTACTTCGATCCTCTGAGTCAGTTTCAGCTTTTACGAATTTTGAAGCGGTTTTACACTTATTACACAATTTCCGAGATTGACTTTGTACTGAATAATATAAACAATGTCAAAATGTGTAATTCTTTGTGTTTAATACTTCTGTAATCTGGAAATGATTATGGCGGTCGGTGATTGTATTTTGCTTTCTTCATTAAATAAGACTGCATTTTTCTCTTTTTCGAGAAGCAAGTCTTATTATTGAAGTATCAGCTTTGTTGAGTTCATCTTAGTTATTGTTCGATTTACAATGTTTAGGTAGTCTCAGTTCCTGAATTTACGGATTATACCGAAGTGATGCAATCATCAAATTGTGGGACAACTTGAATGGTAACTAATAATTAGAATTATCTCACTTGAACATTTAAATTTAACTTAGTAATCAAGAAATGATGAAAGTTATTGGCATTATTAACTCTGATAAGAGCAGTCACAACTGCAGCGAAGGCAGCTTTAACCTTGATAAGAATGCCAATGCAAATCAAGTCGACAATGATAGTAGTAACAGTATTGGTTTTGTAAAGTCATGTTCATCTCATCATTAACTGTTAAGACGAGTAAAATTTTTTTAAAATTTTACTCGTCTTAACACTGTAAAAATGAGATCAACATGACTTTACAAAATTGACTCAGAAACTTTTGAGTCAGAAATTGACTCAGAAACTTTTGAGTCAGAAATTGACTCAGAATTTTTTGAGTTTCTGTAGTGAGCTGGAAAACAATCAAACATAGAGAATACGATAAAATTCAATGAAACTAATATCTTTTCAGTTTAGGCATGAAATTTTTGTCATTTGTTGAACTTCACCGCCACTATCATTTCAGGCATTACTAGGATACCATATCGTTGCTTCGTTGTTTATTTTCTTTTTTTTCACTAAAATTCGTCAGAAATGCTCACTGGTCGAAGCCATTTTATGTAAAAGGTGAGTACTTTTATTCAGCTATGAAGCTGTTGATAATTAGTCCATGCGAAGAAAATTTTTATTTTTCAGATGAGTTGCATTCTCAAATAACTGATCACAAGTACTTCACTACTTGTATTCATTAGTCATTTGGTTAAATACTGGTTGTATTTGTAATCTATTACTATGGAGTACCTCACAGTCAGCTGTACATAATATTTATCAAATATAATCACACTTTCCAGATATTTTCAGACTTTATCGATATTTAGCACCATCAAGTAGCACTTTAAAACAAGCTTCGTTGTGGTTGAATGCTTCTTCAACACGAAGTCGGAAACGAAAATACCGACGGTAATAATTCTGATTTTCTTAGATCAGTCAAATTTTAATTCCTTATTAAGTGTATTTGTAAAAAGTTTTGTATGAATATAAGAATAGTACAATGAATCTTTGCAACACTGTTAATTACTCAGCTAAGCTTATTGTATGGAAAATTTACATTATTTTAATTTATTAATATCATCTTGCGGTTTATTTAGGGATGAAGATTCAGATTTATTGGTGCCTAAAAAAGTCGAATTGAATCTAACAGCAATTCCAGTTAGAATCAATGACTTAGAATGTCTGCAGTTTCATAAAACATTTATGTGGTCTACAGAATTCGTTGTCTTTACATTAGTAATATTTGCAGTCGATTTTGTGCTTTAAATCGATTTTAAAAACGTAAAAAATAACAAACAAAAACCATTTTTAGTTTATAACAAATAGATTGAATAATTTTCGGGTTATCAAAACATAAACAATCATACTTCGTGTTATTAATATATTATAAAAAGTATAAAAAGCATACTTGCTTCAAAGACTAATGAGAATATGATTTATTTTAACTGGTTTCAAAAAAATCAGAGTTGCCAACATTATAATTTTTATTGTTATTTTGAAGTAGATTGGCGATTGTCTTTTCAATTAAAAAAAAATCTGTTGTTTCATTATTATTTTTGAAATAAGCAGTTTAAATTTGATTAAAAAATTGGTTCTTTGTATTTTCAGATTTGTTATATTACTAGCGAAATTATATGCTTTATCTTTCCAAATAATACAGATTTCAACATTTCAATTATGTGGCTGTTACTAGCAATGCTTTTTCTGCTTCAGGTTAGACATTATTTTTTTACGCTATGGCGTGCAGATATTTCCGTAATTTAACAAAATTATTATTAAAAATTATTGAACCTTTTATGAAGAGATATTTTTTTAAAGATATTTAAACATGAAAATGCTTTGAAAAGCTTTTATTTTTTCTAACAAATTTCCAGGCGCTTACTCAAATAGTCGCTACGTATTTTATGAGCAGTGTTGCTATTGGAGAAAGAAATCTGATCATTTCAATAGCTGCCTTATTCTTTTTATTATCATTAATGTTAATCATGTTTGCAGAAAGCATCTTTGATATGCCTTTAAATGAAGGTAAGTTTTCATTAAAGTTATCGAGTAGTTTTTTTTTCTCAGTTTGTTTGTATGACAGTAAGAAAGTAGTTTGCAAATATTGAAAATGATAAATCCAAATAGCATTTTTCTGTATATGTTTGACAGTAAGAAAGCATATTCCTAACTTGATTATTCTATTTTCTAAATCAGCATTAAACATTCTTTTTAAATTTCAGCATTTGATGCATTGAAAAATTCAACGTCCAAGTTTATGATGGCCAGTAATATTCCCAATTATATCCCTCATCATTCTCCACTTTTATTCTTTGTTTCTTTAGCTGTTATGTTGGCATTTTTTGCTTCGTTGCTTGTTTTTCCTGGTTTTAGATATGCTCGCATGTATTCTGATCTCATCAAAAATACTGAAAGACCTTTTAACCGGTGAGTTAGTGTTACAAATATTATCAAAATAAAAGATGGGATTTAAATTATGATATTGAAAGTGCATATTTATTGATTTTTTAATATTATCTATGAACTAACTTTTAAATGCACATTGTATATTCATTACTATTGCTTCTCATTCAAAATATAAGTTTCTTTCCTGAGCACATTCGATTCACTGAATATTTTTTGCCTCATCTTGATTCCAAGATATTAAGCAATTTTATTTGTCATGCAAATGATTTCAGGTTTTTGTACCACATTACATTCATGTCTCAGTTTCTGGCATTGTTTTTGTATTCACATGTTGCAAAAAATTACCTCGTCTATGGTCGGAGACAGCTGTGAGTTTATCTTTTTTCAGTCCTCTTTGTTCATTTCTGTATGTTATTTTTCGCTATTGACTTTGAGAAAATATATTATTCAAAGACCGCAACTTTCAAATAGTAAAATTCGATAATGTACTGACTTTAAAGTTATTTTGTATAATATATTCTTGATTTTATTTAAATTTCAGGCTGAATGAATCTCAGATGGATACTGTACGAATATATGTGGTTATTTTAACTGCACTTTTTCGCATTGCATTGTATCGTCCTCATTTACAATCATTTCTAGATCAAGCTGTGATTGTTCTTTCTAAAATTCATCGCGAAAGTGGGTATGTTAAGGCATCCGTGCTTCAGATGAAGGTAATAATATAAGTAACGAACTAAATTATTGATTTATATTTAAATTAACAAATATGAAAAATAAATTTAAGATACAGATATTGCTCTAGTCTTTTAAAGTTGGGCATTAATGTTCATAAAATATGAAATTTATTCCTCATTTCAGATACTGCGTTATTTTTATTATTTACATGTTGCTGCTTTGCATTACTTCATACCACCTTTTTTGCCTGTGATTTATGCACTGATACTGAAAGCAACATGTAAGTTTGCAGAATCATATTTCGTGGTTTGAATTAACTTTGTTTTATTTTAAAACAACAAAATACTGAAAATGTCAATACATTATAATAATTGCCGTCACTATGAAGATTTATATTTACACTATTTTCAGGTGGTATTTCATGGATTGGAATAAATGATGATTCAATTCAGATGCACAATTTTTCTGGTTATCCTGCCGGTTCATTGCGATCACTGTTTAATGCAAAAGTACATCGAGGATTATGGCAAATTCTAATCATTACATCTCTTGGAACTAATGCAGCGTTCTCCTTGGTCGGCCTTATGTATACTCATCGTTTTGAATTGTCTTAATACTTTCTGTGAAAATTAAATTTTAATAATGCAAGAAGTATTGCTAAGATATAATGAAAATGATAGTTGGAAAAAGTCCTTTGACTGTTATTCTCTTAAAAAGATCTTTGCGTTTAATAAGTGTAGAGATTACATTTCAAATTTGATCTTTATTGGTTGTGAAATTTTTGAGTGTAAGTGCTTTTGAGCATGTCAGTATGTTGACATTTGTCTGTTTTTAGTATCTTAGGACGAAAAACTGAATTTGTAACTGACGAAGAAATTATCATTTTCTAGCCATGGAAATTGTTGGAATCTCACAACTATTAATCGTGATTTTTATGTAATTATGGCTGAAATTCTTTGCAGGCATTGAGTTACACATCCCTTTATGTTTATAATTCTTAATTATGAAACTCATTTATTCGTATAAAAATGAAGCGATCATTTAAAGTGATCGAAAATATAATTTTCTTTATTAATAGGCACTATAGAATTAGATTTGTGCGATTTACCTGTATATTTGTGATACTTTTTATAATTGTGCTTGAAAAAAATTTTATTTTGGCATTCTTCAGTAAATTTGTTACTGATTATTTTTGTGTTAAAAACCTTATCATAAGTTTCTTACATGTATTTCTCTCATCTCTCGACATTTGTAATACTCTTTGAGTTTTATGTATATGAGTTAAAGAGTATAAGTTCTCACTAAATTATTATTTATAATCTTGAAAGTGTTAAGTAGCAATGACGGAGGCACTTTCGTTAATGTATGGAATTGATTTACCAACTCGAAGTGTTGTTGGCGTCCCTGCAGAACAGGACAGAACTTTATTTCTAGTTGGTACTCTGTCATTAAAACAGGATAACCAGGTTTATAATTCCATTATTTATGAAAGATTCTGCACTATCATTTATTTTTTGTCTGAAGAATTGAGGGATTTTTGAATTTTGATCAGCCGAATAATCAAGTTAGTGAATCAACTTTTATTTGAAAAGTTGTGAGTTCGAATGCTTTCTGCACAGATGAAGTCACAATTTTCATTTTTCAAGTTTTTTAAAGAATGTCAAGAAGAAAGAGATTATTTTTAAAAGGTTTGCTTGTTGGAAGTGGATGATGATTGGGTTCAGATCACTAAACGTTCGTTTATGCATTCAGCAGGTGAAGTCTGGTATATGTCAAGTTCACCTATTGATTCGACTGTTGTCGCTACCTGTTATTCGGCTTGTAAATTTTTTAATTGTGGAAACATTTTGATTAGATAATAGAATCAGATGAGTGTGAAGTGTCTGTAGGAGTGGTAATGTGTTTCCAATAATAGGAAATTAATGGTGGTTATTTCAGATATTAGCGAAGCATAAAAAAGAAATTAGAGAGTAATTAAGGTCGAAACGATTTTGATTATTCTCTCTAGTTTCATTGTAATAACTCATGAAATAATTAAACTTAATAGTTATGAAACAAATTTTTCGGGGATGGCATTGTACGATCAGGTGTTGGATTGTGGAAGATGAATAGTGATGAATCCAAACTAGTCGAAATTGCGCGTTATGCAGTCCTTCCAAACATGGGAAAGTGCAATTCGTATGTTTGCTGTTCTAAAGAAATCAAGAGTGAGATAATTAGTTTAAAGGCAGTTGTTATTTATTTTTTGGTTTTGTCAACGTAGTATGATAAGTTTGATTTTTATTTCTTTTTTTTTTCTTTCCCAATTTTTTGTAGAAAAGTTTTTTTTCAGCGCCGAGTTTGATCCAGATGGAAGCAAAATTGCTATTGCCGCTGGTAATTCGGTTTTAGTCAATGATGTGACCAAATTATTAAAGGTTTTTTTTTTTACTGTATCATTTTTTCATGAATTGTTTTGCAATGATACTTTTAAAATGAGATTCACATTGCAAGTCACATGGGTTTGAAGACTTCAGTTCTCTTACGTCATTTAATCATTAACAAGCAGAAATAAATGAAAGCACTTAAGTGCATAAAGCGAGTTTAGGTTCAGTTTTCCTCACCGGACAATAGTGGAGGTGCAGTGAATGCACTGGTATGGAATCCACATTCAGGTGGACGTATTTTAGCTGTCGCTCAAGGCACATCTGTGAAAGGGATTGATATTCGCAGTGAGCAGTAAGTTTAGTTATGATTATTGCAATTCAAGAAAATGGCATTTTTCTTCGAAATCAGAAAAGAACAAGAAGTTTCAGTGATACGAAGTTTTTTTTGTCATTGGCTTCTCCATTTTCTGATTACTGCAGATGTTGCACTTCAGATCTGGTTGTATTGTTTCAGAGAATTGTTTTGTGTCCAAAATGCGCATTTATCTCATGTAAGAAATTTGGATTTCAATCCTAATGTACAAAATATTATGGCGACTTGTGGTGACGATTTCAGAGTTGCATTGTGGGATATTCGTAATGTTGATACGCCCTTAAAAGTTCTACAAGATCATTCGCACTGGTGAGATCTCTCTTCCCTTCTTTTTAATTTTACCTATACTTCATTTTTACCTATACAGAACAACTGTAATTTTCGTCCCTTGGCGCAGAATATTTTAGATGCAAAACAATCATAGATTATATGAGGTCATTATAGAAAAAAAAACAAATCCATGCAAGTAAAAAAAATGGGAACATAGTTTTAGAATTTTATGAGCATCACCGACATTACAGGGTTTGGTGCATCAAATTCAATCCCATTCACGACCAGTTATTGTTATCAGCAGGAAGCGATGCAAGGTTATTCCTGAATAGCCTAGAATCCTTCAGTTCTGAATCTGTTCATTCATTTGCTCTAGCACAAGATGATAGTGAATATTCCTCACATGAAAAGTAATTTTTTATCATTTAGAAAATCCCTTCAACGGCCTATACTAGTAAATGTCATCATAAGTTCCAAGATGTAGCCTAGCATTTTCATATTTGTATTCTCCTGTAGTAAATGTTATCATAAGTTCCAAAAAATATGATTTTTTTTTCAAATAAAACCATTAAGACATTTGTGGTAAAATGCAAGTTTGTTGTTTTTAAGGCTTCCGAAGAATTTTTCTGTTTCATAAATATGTTGGGCACTGGTTATTTTAAATGAATAGGGGCACTGCATTTTTTCTAATAATTTTTGCAAGAAACTATGTTCAGCAAATTATGTGATGAGCGTTTGGAAAAAATGGAAGAACATGAAGATTCAGTTTTTTGCTGTGCTTGGGCCGGTAACGATCCATGGGTTTTTGCTTCTGTTTCTTTTGATGGGAGAGTAATTATCTCAAAGGTGAAACGACATCATAAATATGCCATACTACGACTTTAATGGAAAATAATTGGTAATTGTAAACAATAAAATACATGTTTTTTGAAATGAGCAAAAGAATATCTTTGTGATGATTTTTTAGACGGGTCTGTAACTTTCACAATTATTTAGTTTGAATTATATCGTTTTTTATTGTTTTTTTATCTGAAAAATTTTATTTCCCTATATTTCATTTGAAGCTATTCTTGAAATGAATGATCTGGAACTTTTTGTTGCTTGCGATTATAAATATTTTACGTGATCAGTATGAAATTTCAAGTGCACAATCAGTAACATAGTTTCAAAATTTCTTAACACTCAACTCAAATTATATTCTGAATGGTTTCGGTCGTGAACACCGTTCAACATTTCAAACGATTTTAATGCTTTTTCTGTAGAAATTGAAACCTTAAGATAAAAGGTGTCATGTATTTCTGAACGGCAGTTAGTAACCAGGAGCAAGACGCGCTGGTGGGCAGTGGTCACAACTTCCTGGTGCACCTGGTTGACCAGGTTCTCCTGGCGGCCCTGGTTGTCCACTTGGGCCTGGCGGGCCTGCAATTTATGTTTTAGTTACTAAATCTTTGACCGAGTTAACGCCGTTCCAGCATAATTTCTGGATTCTGTTGAAAGAATTTGTAAAAGACTATGTGTGTTTAACAAACCGCGTGGTCCTGGTTCTCCTGGGCTACCTATTTCCCCATTTCCACCATCTTTGCCAGGAGGTCCAGGTCGACCAGGTTGTCCTGGAGCACCGGGTCGTCCAGGTTGTCCCGGAGGTCCTGGTAGTGGTCTTTCACCAGGGATAAGCTGTCCTGGTTCGCCCGGTGGTCCTCTTTGTCCAGGTTGGCCATTCTGACCAGGGCTGCCTGGGGGCCCTACTGGTCCCTGAGGTCCGGGTATGCCATCTTCGCCAGCTGAAAATGACGCATGGATTTCTGCTAGAAAATTTCTCTGATTGGTGGGAAATGTGCGCGAGCAACATTCTGGAGGAATTATTGTATCTAATTTTGTAAATAAAGTAAAGAAAAAACTAACTGGGTCCAGGATTTCCTGGTGGCCCATCAGGACCAGGTGGTCCTGGTGGTCCTGCCGGTCCAGCGGCTGACTGACACGGACACTGGGGTGGAACAGGAAGAAGTCGGTCGTGCAATTCTGCATCTGCTCCTGGTGGTCCAGGTGCTCCAGGCCCGTCACCAGGGTTACCATCTTGTCCTGGTGTACCTGGTGGTCCATCCGGTCCTGGTGGTCCTTGTTGACAGGTGCAGCATTGAGCTTCTGTTTGACGTCTAGTTCGAATCAGAACATCCAGTGGTTCATCGCTACCTTCTGGTACCATTTCAACCATTTCTTTCCACATATCACGTGATCGAGATTTGCAATATTCTACTTCACTCTAAAATTTTCACCGTATGCTAAGTAGATATGTACTCTATTTTCGGGTAAAAAATCAAATATTTTTAAAATCAGTCGGACATTCTCAAACCACAGCATAAGTGTGTAGAAGTAGAATATTACTTAAATTTGAAGTCTGGGTTTCTCTCCCACTTAGCTCTGCCACTGGTCTATGCTGCGTGATTTTAATTACTGATCAGTCTGATTTGTCAGAACAATTAATGTAGTGGAACAATTTTGATTACGACCTTTTGTATTCTCTACGTCAATCACAACAAGTTTCTCGATTGACGTTTCCGTCTACTCATTCTTTCAACAGTGGTGGAACCAGTTTTCACTTTCCCATGGTTACAATTCTTTTTTTTCATATATATATGTATATATTTCTACATTTTTGCAGTCTTTTTAAAACATTGCTCATTATTTCTGGAAATATTTCTGACAAATTTAGAAAATTATTTCATGAACATCTGGAGATAGACTGTCTGGTTTTAACCGATGTAATGATTTTAACTTTATAAATAATTAGATAGTTTTCTGGATATTTTCACATAATCATTTGATAATTTTAAGGCCATAAAGTATACAGAAAAATGCTATTCAGTTTTATCATTTTCAATATTTGCAAACTACTTTCTTACTGTAAAACAAACGCATTCGAGAAATTCATTGTCATTTTCGTGCTTGTTAACTTACATTTTATAATGAAAACATGAAGAAAATTGTGAAGTATTATGTGGATATAGTAATCACCTGCACAGTAGCTTGTAATGTTTGTACATAGTGAAATACCATAGGAAAAGTAAAAATACATGCAGTTACAGCAACAGTTGAAAATACAACAGCGGCGAAGGCAACGGAACGTAAGGACGACTTGCTCGTGTTCTCCATATTATCGGTGAGCTGAACTATATTCTTGTCAGACGACTTTTATAGCAATTGATTCGATGTGTGTTACCGCGAGAAACCGGTATAGTTTGGGACAAAGTGGTGGAACGAATCGCTCAGCAGGTATTATCTGTTTATTTATTTATTCATATACACAACTTGAAATTTTATTAAGCAATTTTAAAGTATTAACGATTATTGCATATAAAAAAGCATATGTTATCCACGTAAGTCACATTCTTAGCAAATGTATAAGCTTCCTATTATTAGCATCTGCGGCTGTTTTAACCATTAGAAGATGAAGTTAATCATTGAATGGATTTACAGAAATCGAACTTATTTTTGTATGAAATATAAACCTAACGATAAAGTTAAGCTCAGGGAAGTGGAAACGATTAGAATGATTAGTAGATCAGTTTACTGACCGAAATGAACTTAATAAAATAAAGGAAAAAAGTGGTAATTGGTAAATGGACTCAGTAATAAATCAGTTTGAAGAAAAATTGAAATTGATATGCCTTTTTCAAATTATAAGAGTTCATCGCCATCTTACGAACCATTATCGACTGTGCTTTAACAATTCTGCAAACTTGACTCGTAATTAACACTTAAATTAGAATATTAAGACTCAAGTTTTTGGTGCCACAATTCTTTACGACAGCATTACTAGCTTTTGGTCATTGCATTTATGTTCATTATTTCCGATTTTTGATTTGCATCATCAGTAACTCTCTACTAACTCAAAATGAAAATTAAATGCTCCATCATTTTCTAAATATAAAAGTGAAATTTTTAGTATTACGACCATTTAATAATTCATGCAGAGTTGCAGTCAGTAATGCTTGAAACATGGCATCTAGAGTTTGCGATCACGATGCTGCTTTTTGTAACTAATTTTGTCACTTGCTGTCGTAAACGAAATTCTCAAAAAAAGGTAAGTTCAGCGAAGAATTCAGATGATTAAATCAATGTAGCTGCTTATTCAATTTGGTCATGTTCATTCAATTTTAAATTCAAATGACCAGAAGAATCATCTTGAAATCCATTGATCAAATGAATTCATATCAAAATCCAACTAGTTTATTAATATTCCAAATACAAAAATGTGTTCAAAAATACAAAATTACAAATGCGAAATGTTTGCCAAATATAAAAACGCTTTTTGAATCAATGAAAAAGTAGATATCTGAAGGAAAAAACATCGAGAAATGGTCACAGAAAACATAATAATTTGACCAGTTCATGCACAAAATATTACTAATAGTGACATGAATGAATGACTGCGGCGACAAAAATTGTAAAACGAAATACAATAGTGCGAGTGTATTTGATTTCGAATTGGAAAAGAAAATAAAAATTTTCATAAAACATTGTTTAGTGGAATGCATAAATTTGCGATCCTATCATTATTTTTCTTTTCAACATGTGCTAGCTAACTTTTGATAAAAAAACCAATCATAAATGGTGATTGAGGAAATGAGAACTGCCATATTTTCATTCAACTAAGACAAAAATACGAATCAGATTCGTAGTTTTGAGAATCTGTAAGAAATACAACAGAGTATGTAGGATTGGAAGTGCTTGAAGTTTAAATTAAGTGGGCTCAGATAATTCTGATTTTTTATATTACCTGGAATAATAGTGCTGAAAACAGTAATAATAATTTTTTTTATTTAGAAAATACCGATGTTCCTATCGTCAAATGATTCGAGAGGTGACACATTATATGGTATACATACTGCTGAACATTTTTCAAGACCAAAAAATAAAGAACTAGATGAAAGCCATACTTTTTAAAGGAAGTTGATACACTTATTAGTTTGTTTTTTTATATTTTGTGCTCTGACCAATAAAATTGTTATTTTTAAAGAGAAAGCTTAAGTCAATAACCTATTTCAATTTCTTGAACTTGTCACAAAGTAACTGGTTAAGGGTTCAACTATCATTAAAGTTTGATACATTGAGGTAGCTTCAATTCATAGCACTACAACAAAAAAAGTAGGGCAAGACTTTATAAATATCGTGTTATGAAAAGAAACACATGCACCATAAGTAGATAAAAAAATAAAATTTGAAAAAAGAACAGTGCTTGCATAACCCTATCGTGCCAGTGCATAACAAGATTATGGAGGCCAAATGAATATAGCCATCTAATTGAATTCTAGTCATAGATAGGTCTTGAGCACTTAAGGTAAAAAATACTCTCAATTAAGTCGAAAATACAAGACTTAATCCGTAAGGAAAATGACTTTAGCCGTTACTGTAAGACCTTCATCAGGAAAGAATTCTACATTTGTCAGTAAATACCTTAACTAAATAAAAAAATAGAACCAGGAATTCGACTTGACTGTCCAACTTATTCGCTGCTCTCTGACAAGAAACTGATAGTGACACTATAACTACCAACCCAGTAAGTAATAAAGACTTGTGAATTATCGTCACATCTTAGAGCGAAGTTTGCTTCCGAAATCCCAGTCGTAAAAGCCAATATGAAACACTACTACCCATGAAAGGTGCCTTACTTATAAGATCATTACAAATACCGCACCCGAGCACCAAAACTTTGGGAGGATGTTTACCACCATGCGTTCACATGTATAATACGTCACGCAGACGCAAAGATTATTTAATTACCTGACAATTAAAGTTTCCGGTGTATCTTACGTACTCTTATCTCCATAAGATCCAAGCTCGATACAAATACTATCTCGTCTCTTGACGAAAGTACCTAATATTTGTGCATTTTCAAACTCAACTCGGTATTCTTAATTTTGGATTTATACCTTATTTACTTTGTTCTCTTCTCTTTATTTTACACATTTTTCACATTCATATATAGCTTGCAAATACGTCACACTGCAGTTAGTTAAATAAACCTTCAACATGATTTACTAACCCTGTATAGCCATCACAGTTAAGAGGAAATGAGCAATCCATCGCAAATTAGGACACCCATATTGTAAGAACTGCGACAGAACTTGAATAAATGTATCTAAATTTCGAACTTATGCAACAAACTCTTAAATAAAAAGTAAACCTTGGAGGATGAAATAAATTTTCTATCTAGCTCAAAAAAAAAAAACGCAACTAATATTAGAAAATGAATATTCGACAGTTTTTCAAATAACAATCCATATTTATCCAAACAATTAGTAACAGATATTAACGAGAACAACTAAATCTTCAATGTTGCTTTTTCCGAAACGAACATCCTTCTGTCAGATGAGCCTTTCCACCAGTTGGCTGGCAAAGTACAGTACTACATCCAACACAGACTACTACTGATTGAGCATGACTGAATACTGTAGTAATTTTGTAACAGCCAGGACATTTCACATCCATAAAAAACGAATTCGGCTGCTGTACCAATCTTTTTAGCTTACATCGCTCTCGTTCCTCAAAATCGTAGGTATTTATGATTTACTAAACTGAATTTAGCTTCAAGCGCATTATTTCTATAAGACCAATAAAGGGATTAAAGCAAAGTTTCACGAAAATGCTAAAAATAATCACTCAATACATTTAGACAATGACTATCAATTACCTTACCCTGAAAATAAACGTAATACAGAACTACAATAAGAGCTACTTAAATAAACATGCAATTATCAACATAATTCTAAAAACTGACTGACTACAAGACAACGGAAACAAGAACTCGAGCTTACTTTTTGTGGGTCGGGATATAATAAGTCTCGTGCTAATGGCATTTCGCAAGGTTCGCTCTGTACTGTAATACAGTTTGTCAAAATACTCCTACTATCCCAATTCTGAAATTTTGCTACTGTGAATAGATGAAAATTGATGCAACTACCAGTGACTAACATTTCGATGAAGTCCACAAATCATCAGTAATTAATCACTAACAGTAAGCAGACGCAATTTTAAATCACAGTACTAAACCAGGCAGGTTTACTACATTATAATGTAATGAAAGGGACTGAGAAGTACATACGACCAGCATTCCACTCTGGCACAAACATCTCAAACTGGTAATAATAATCACACTACTGAGGCATAAATGAAACTAGGTATTATTAGTCTAAGCTTAATACTGATAACTCTTCTCAAGCCAAATATGACAATAACTTTATAACGGGATAAAATAGGTAAACGTCTCAAGCTAGTTTCCCTACAAGTCAACTGCAACATTTAAGAACTTCAACAAAGAAAACCATGACAGTACAAAACTGCACATCACCTCACATCTGCCTATCAACCCTATGTGAGTAGTATCTAAGATTCAATCAATGCAAAATTCGACCTTCACAATACAAGTACGCCCACATATCAACACCTCTATGAAAACGACACGGACCACATCCAGTAGGAAATCACAAATCTAAATCAAGCTCTCACTTGCCCTTCATGACTAATTTCTAATACTGCCTTGTTTCAACAACTCTTTATTTGAATCACTCCGAACACAAAAATAAAGAAGATCCATTTTTTGGCTTCAGTTACTTTCAGATCTCACAGCAATAATCATCATATCGGAACTACGAGAACTTTCAGGCAACTGTTCAGCAATTTCTCAAATATAAGCACCAAACGCTTAGTTTTGAATTTTGACAAGTTCACAAATTTCGAACCAATATGTAAATGCACGATCCCAGTAATCATGTTCAGCATGAAAAAAGAAATAAATCTTCATTGTCAAAGTACTTTACATATTTTAATTACAAAGAAGACAATGTACACGATACAAATCTTGATAGCATGCTGAAATAGCCAATTGGTTTTTTGCATAAGTATGTTCTTGATAAAATCATTAATTATGCAAAAAACGAGTAAATGAGTTGTAAGCAGTTTCGATATCGAAAATCATTTGCCGTGCATCATCATCAGTAATTTCCTCGCTTGCACCCATGCTTTTTAACTTGTCATGCCTAAAAATATGACACAAAATATTATTGTAAGAATGACACAAAATATTATTGTAAGAGTCTTCTTAAATGAACAATAACAATGGGTTTTTGTTTTTAAGCCTGCAAAGCATTCTTTTTAAGCAAAGGTTCAAAGTTTATAAAATACTGCTACGTTCCAAAAAATTATTCAAAAACTGGAGCTGATGACAGAAGTAGTTTGTTACCTTCATCAACAGCAGGAAAAACTAACCAGTGTTTTACTTTAAGCTTTGACTCGAAGTTGTCTGGTAAGCTGATCATAGAGCAAATCGATACGTTGAGTTCATTCAATGTCGGGAAAAGCTCATCAACGGCTCTTACATTAAGTTTAAGCTGATCCAAAAATGTAATAAACATTTCTACAATCTCTGCAATACATTTCAATGTGTTACCCTTGTCATCTTTTACCGTAATTGGGCGATCTTCACGAATTCGCATTAATGCTGCTGGGCATTCAATTCGATACTTTTTCACGAATTCATCAATATCGCATTGAACTAATCGCAAAGCTACCTGTAACATTTATCATTTTTAAAAGGAGACAAATGAAGAGGTTGACTAGAATACATGAAAATTATAATCCAATTAGTTTTATTTATTCTTTTCACAATTCTAGCAAGTTTAAATCAGTGAATAAACTTTTCAGATGTGTCTTTTCTTGCTCTGTATCCAATCTAAATTGTTAAATACATTTTGAGAAACAACATTAAATAGGCTAAAGAAGCTTTACAACGCTACGCAACTACGAGTGGAACTGACTTAAACGTGGCATAAACCTCGTTTACACAAAGAGCGCATAGTACTGTTTTCAGAGTGAAATTAGTAAAAATACGCAACTCCATACCGTTGACTTTATTTTTTATTATTTAAATTCGACGGCACAGTAATAAATTAAATCCCTAGCAAAATGTTCATAAATTTAACCCATTCTGAAATATATATCACAGCTTTATTCATTCACTATTTGCTAGTATCCAAATACAATCTTTCCACTTGACGTTCTATTCTAATTAAGAAAAGGGCTCTTCCACTCAGTCCAAAAATAATTTCGAATTTAGTATAATTTACATTTAGTACACATCTACACGAATTATTATCACACTCTATTAGCTTCTAATGATAATGATCTACAGTTTTTTCTAAACTGGAAATAACTAACTTTGTACTGTACCAAAAGCTTTGAACATTCCGCGGTGTACTCTTTTGGAGCGATACAATCACGACTAAAAACTTTTTCCAGACATTCCAAAGCGTTTAAGACAGCGTACAATTCACTCATATTATCCACTCGTTCACGTTCAACGCTATTTTCATAAAGTCGAATTTCTTGCAATAAATCAGGATCTACATCATTTCTAAGCATATTACCACTGCTAGCACTAGTACTCAACATTTCTACTTACCACCTGAAACCATTTTGCTATTTTTGTTTTGAAATGATAGTTTTATTCCCAATCGACTTCTGAATAGTAATTTTATATATTCCAATGTGTGATATGAAACTTTTACTTTCAAACAGAACATTACTAACAAAAACGACAATTATGGACATTTTTATATCAATTTTAAATTTACTAAGAATCATTGAAATTGTGATAATTACATGCATAAAAAAAATTGACAAGGTTCAGCCTACAAATTTTTGAATTAGTCTGAAATGATAAAATTGAAATGACACAATCGGAAGAAATTAGAAACGGTTAAGGGAGTCTACGCTGAGCAGAGTGTCATATCTGCGAATTACGTTAGGATTATAAAGTTTCACAAAGACCGCGTTATTCACTCTTGCTTGCTTGTAACGAGGTTGCTTGTTGTAAACTAGAGACTTCCTATTTCTTTCGGGATAAGTAAGGTCATGTGAGTACTTATTTATCATTTAATGAAGTCACTTTGCTTTATTTTTTTCCATTACTGAGTTCTGTTATACTGTTTGCTTATGAAGCCTTATAAGCACGTGAGCCAACTGTTTTGGCTCGCATATGATGTAACGGATTACACAAATTCCAGATTCAGGTATTTGTGCTCGTTGTTTTGTAGAAAAAAAGTAGGAGCTGTGTATATTTATTCTAAGTAAGAAGTTTGACCTTACTTATTTAGTTCATTGAGAACTTCGAACTAGTTTTTCAAGAAGAATCGTTTAAAACTAATGCGTCAACTCTGTAATGACTTGGTCTCAGATCAACTAACGTTTTCAGACACGTATCATGATGTTATCACGAGGTTCATTAACTGTACAATCGAAATCAACTTCATATATTGTGCGTCACTCTATTCTTTTATCAGCCAAGCATCACAATGAATATTGCTGGCAAAAACAACGTATTGGCCAGAGAGAAATTGTTGGGCCATCAAGTGGCGGATATGTAAGTCTTTGGATTTTGAATATGCCTAGATTTTAAGTAGTCATCAAGTTTCCTTGCACTTAAAGCTTTTTGATTATGTTAAAAGTGTTTCTCTTGTTCGTGTAAGAAAGGCTTTTGCATTTTTTCCTCATTGATTTCATACTTATTTGCAATATTGTAATTAGCAAAATCATTTCGTTTTCTGAGTTCTCCTTTAAGTTGTACTCATGAATAACTTCCAATCAAAGTGACATCATTTCTTAAACAATTATTTAGAAAATAGTTATAGCATTTTATCGATTCAACTGATCGTCCATATCCTCCATTGAGATTTCGAGCTGATGATGACATTATCAAACCAATTCGAGAAAAAGAAAAAGGGGATTGGAAAAATTTAACTATAGAAGAGAAAAAACTATTGTATAGATATTCCTTCCGACGTACACAGGCTGAATTATTGGGTTGGAATTACTACTGGAAAATGTATTGGGCCTATACGTTAATATGGATATCCATTGGTCTTGCATTTTTAGGTGTACTTAAGCATTATAGTAAGTTGTTTAGTGTAATTACTCATATAATTTATCTTCTAGCAGTATTTGAAGGATAACTGATATATAATTTGTTCCAAGCAGTTCGTACAGTCATAATGTTCTGAAAGTTCTAAATTTAAAATTTATTTCCTTCTCTGTGGGTGGATTATTTTTGCATCTACATTGTTAGATTTCATATGTAATTGTCATTTTGTACCAATGCTTCAATACAGAATTTCATTATTGTCATGACTGAATCGAAATGAGGCATTAAAATTTTCAGGTTTCCCACCCCAAGTACCTACAATGAACGATGACTGGAAGCATTATACAATGCGAAATATTCTAATTTTGGAAAAACCGTTTTGTGAAGGAGCAGCAACGAAATACGATTATGAAGATGATCGTTGGAAGGATTAAGTGAAGAAAAAAAGATAAAAAGGAATACAGCTATTTTTTCTTTGTGTTTAGAAAAAGTAACAGCATTTTATCGAAACTTTTGTAAATACTAAAAGTATTCGATTTGTAGTGTTTGCTGAGATTTAGTATCTTACTATTCATTTGTTTGTTTTGTGCAGTATATAAATTTCTTAGTTTGTTTTAATAACTCAAATTGTAGTCAAAATGCATATAGCTGTAACTTCTTTTCACCAATTTCGCTTTATATGATGCAACAGATAAGGTAATTAAACTGTCATAATTGTGGTTAGTGTTCGTTTCATATAAATTAAATGAAGTATAAATCATGACCCTGAAAAAATCACAGGTATTCGTGTTTTAACAGTTACACGATATATTTTATCACGCCTATGTCAGTTGAGGTTGATTCAGGGTGAAATATGTATGGTAATGTGGACGTAATTTTGTCGAGATCAGATATCAGGTGTCATTGCAACTAACAGGAAAGTGAATTTCTCAGTTTCGTGGGAATTATTTTGAAAGCAATCTCTCAGTTATGCACTCATGAGGTTGTGGGTCGTTTTCTTTGGGAGGCACATTTAATTTCATCGTAATATCCAATTACCATACTTTTTAAAGTTGGGGTTATTCCGTCAACAGCAAAAGCTCTGACTCCACTGTTCAAACTGTGTTGTAGTCACGAGTAAGGTGAAGGACCCGAGTTTGTATGTCTGTTTCTACTGTTCATGAACTCTGAATGTTTATCTATGATTAGGAAGGTATATATTATTTTAGGATGAATGGTCTGTTCAATGATTCTCTAGTTACGTGGAAATGGAAAATTCAAAATCGGTCGTGGGAAAAAGAAGCTGAAAGTTGGAAATGTCCGGGAGCGACTGTACTCATAGATCCACTTTCAAGTCCTACAAGTCCAGTTTCTTCATTAGAAAAGCAGGAAAATCAAGTGCACAAACGAGAAAAACCAGAATTTGCTGATCCTTTAGGCTGGTTAACTTTAAATGTAAACATATTTTTACTTTTTCTGTGCGGTTATCATTTCGCAATTACACGATATATCTTACTGTTTATTTTCTTGCCTTTTTGAAGAGATATATTGTGTTCTTTTTTGCCAGCGTTTAATTTGAAATCACCGTAGATAATTTGTCCTAAAAACAATAATTTTTGCAGTTTGTGAATTTGATATGTTTAGGTGCTGTTGTGGAAAAGCGTTCCGCCTTTGCGATAACTGAAGACATACCAACCATTACAAAGCAAAAAGTGGAGCCAAAACTAATTAATACTTTAGTTAGCAGTGATGATGACCTGATTACTCTTTCTGAAAAAGTTATTATTACTAAACTTTAAACTGAGATATGACAAATTTTCATCAGCCATCAAAACAAATATTATCAATAAATAAATGATTGTGAGATAGATACTGAAAAAATTTCATTTTATAGATCAGATTTGATAGTATGTTATTTGCAGTTTTTTCTCCATTGCATGATTTTTATCTTTTAAGGAATTGCCTGGTTTTGTGCCTTGGTCGGTGAAGAAGCAGGACATACTGAAGCATTTTTCAAATATTAATGATTCGAAAAGTTCATATTTACATTGTGTGCCTGGCTTGAAAAAAACAGATTTACCAGTAACAAATCGAGTAGCACAAAGGTGGTTGAGTTATTGTTAACAAATTTTTCTCTTGTAAATCAAAAATTCATGGAACTGCATTTGAAATTTAAGTATCGTTATTTTCATTTTTATGGGATTGCCAACATTTTGTTTTGAATTTGTATTGTAAATGGTTTATAAATTTTTTAATGATTGAGCTTGAGATTCGAGCAACTGGAAAACATACATGATTGGAAACAAATAACCGAACATTCGAATGTACAAGTATTGAGCAAAATTAAAGAATTGCAGAAGAATTTGGAGTTAACTTGGGTTAAAGGAAAAAGAATAACAACCATCAATGTATGTTTTGTTTTTTTCATTGTGAATTTAAAAACTGGTTATCGCAGAATATTGAATATGATCTCACTAAATGCAGATAGCTGTAGAAATTACGAGGATTCTGTCATCTGTATCTACACCTGAGTTCTACGTACGAGTATTTGTCTACGTGACAGATATCCTGGATCGCTTTGGATATCTCGTTTATGATCGACTTTATAGCAAAGCAAATCAGGAACGCTTAGAAGCAGGTCTGAGTCAACTATGTAGTAATTTCGAGGTAAATGACATACCAAAAAATACGCGTGATACTGCCATGAATTGGTTTTGTAAGATTGGCGATATACGGGAACTTCTGCCACGTTTTTACGGTTCGTTTCCTCGACAATTGTCTTGCATTTATTAATCATAAAGAAAGTGACAGATAGTTGATAATATTTTAATTTAATATTTAAATTTTGTGATTGTTCATTCACTATTAAATTAGTTCACTCACTGAGTAATGTCATCGAATTCATCTTGTACTCTCTGATCTGTGCGACAATTTTTATTGATTAATTCTGCTCGAAAACATTTGTTATAGTGGAAAGTGCCTTGATTGGTTGTATTCGTTTCTTCGATGCTGAGTCGTTAAAAGTAAATTTGATGCGCCTCGCAAAAATACCTGTTTTGCTTCCAAATCTTCTAGTTTCATCTTATGCTCGGGTATATTTGTGTCATGTTGCGATGCGACTTATCCCAAATGATCGCGCTCCCCACTGGAAATGTTTGAACGATCAGATTAATGCTGTTTCTTTTACAGTGGTATTTCTTTATTGCAAAATAATTAAAATTTCAGCTACAAATTTTGTTTGAGTCGAATCTATTTTGATATACTCAATGCTATCAGTGTTTTAAACATTATTTCTTTCTAATTAATCAAACCGAACATGTTGCGCTGAGAAAAGAAAAGGAAGTGTAGTGTTAGTCATGATAATTATATGGAGTGATAGAATTTTAAATAAAATCTTAGCAAATTAAGCAGTCGTATTATCGAATACATCTAGTTTACTTGTACATTACATTAAACATTTTTTTAAAAACAATTAAGATTTTGTGAACTGTAAAATCAGCTTACAAGTGTTTTGAAAATCAATTTTTATTGTAGGCATTGGTCAAGTTTTTTTGTTAAATTTTAGCAATGTAACTGCTAAACATTTTTAACAGTTTTAGTTACCATCACTAATACCAGCTTTGGAATGGATTATTCAGTGCGTAACTTATAACGGTAGAAAATGTGAATTGGAAAAGATGTTGTTGAATTTTTCAAAGGATAACGAAAAACGAACCATTGTTTTACCACTTTTTCTGCGTGCATTATCGTCTGATTACATTTCTAAAAATGTTTTAGATCTTATGGAATTATTGGTGAGCATTGTCTTTTCCAAGTAATTTTTTATCAAGGGTTTGTCACAAACTCTTTTGTGCTGCACTTGGTTCCTTAAAGAATTTCATTTTTAGACTCATTATTAAAAAAAATTGCTAAGAAATGATAGTTATTACTGCATATTACATTTTTGATTTATTATATTTACAGCATAAAATAATGATTTGTTGTAAAATCAGCATAAAAGAATGATTTGTCTTAAAATCATCTTCGCCGACATTTTTTAATTTTTTAAAGTTAATAAATACGATTTTGAATTTTTAGACATTGTTTGCTTTCAGATCATTGCTAATGATGATGTTAGGGGACCAGAATTATGCGTTTTTGGTGAGCAGCTGATGGAAAATAATATGATGAATGATGTAAGACAATTTATTTTCAAGAACTGTTGGCAAAAAACTATGTATGCTTTTAGATTCATTTATCACGAAAATACTTTTCGCTTCATTATCGTCTGCGTTGGATTTGATGCAAAAATATTGACTTTTATTGTTATATATCATTTCAGTTTTAAATATTTTTGACATAAAAACACTGCTCATGGTGTGTTCATTATAGAAAGTTATTAGATATTCGAGATTTTATTGAATGCTCGACGGTATGGATTGAATTTGCAGCACGATATTTCTCTTTGGATGAAGTGAGTGTAGTGTTAGAAGCAATTATCAAGCGGGTTACGGCTAATAAGGTTTGTCAAAAAATACTGACTCTTATCAGAAACATCTTTGCTGCTGTAAATAACATGACATTGTGAATTTCCAACTCATTATCAATTTTTTTATTCAGCATTTTCATGCAATATTTCATTTTTTCAGTAATAGTAGTTTGTTTCATACAAAGAGTAAGTTATGACTTTACTTCAAAAGCATTCAGCAGAAGTACGAATCTTTTTTAAATGAACTGCTGGGTATCATGGAAAAAATTACTCATTGGGTGGATAACATAGAAAGCTTGCTTATCCTACCTAGTTTCCAAAAGTTTGTCGACTTTTTCCGTACTGAACAGCAGCGAGGAAACTGTGCTATCATGATATTGTTAGCTTTCATAAATTCTTGTGAACTTTCTTCTGTATCGGATCTTCAACTCGCGAATCAGGTCATTTCATTTTCTTATTCCTATAATCTAAAATGGAAATCTAGATATTAAAATAGCTTTTTCAAGAAAAACCACCTTTGGACATAGATCATTTTGAAGTCGTTGCAGTTGTTAAATAAATAAATAACTCCTGATTTCTTTGTCTGTTGCAACCTCACATTTCTGCAAACTTTTCACTAAATTTGATGTTTTTCTTAGATAATGCATGGGTAATTTAGGTTCTTAATATTTGCCAGCTTCTTCATGATTCATTGAATGCTCTTTCGACTGAAGAAGAAAAACATCGCTCATCGTACCATATTGTTCGAGCTTTGAATCGTTTCAATTTACAATCAGATCCCGAGCAAGCACTTGATTTTTACGTCGATGCACGGGCTGCTTTATCAAATTTGGACAACGTCATCGCAGTAAGTTAATCGATGCACTTGTTACAAAATTTTTTATCTCTGACACCGAATTTTTCTTAAAAATGAAGGTAGTGTTTACAGTACTTAGTTACTGAAGTTTGCTCGCTTGGATTGTATGTTGCTCGTCAAGAACAAATCTCGCAAGCGGGAAAAATATTTATACGGGCATGTGTTGCGTACGCTTTTATAACTATAGCATCTTTATCTAGCGTGGTTATTAAAATCGAGCTTTATATGCAGGCAGGAATATTGAGTTTGGTCGGCAGTTCATTACCCCAGGTTTTCGTTTTTCTTAATTTTAATCAGAAAAAATATTTTATGAAAAGTTACGTGAAGTAAAAATATTTTATGAAAAGTTACGTGAAGTCTCTGATATTCTAGATTCTAAATAAGTATTTACAAAGCTTTGTTCTTTATACATTTATTTTTAGTTAGATGGAATTTTGCGAAGCTCAATCGAAGAGCTTGCTAGAGCTCAGAATCTTAGTGCATCTTGCTACCGTTCACTCTGTTGCTCGTTCCTCGCATTTTTAGTTTTAGTGCCTGATTCTCCGAACAAGAATCCTTTATATATGTTCAACGCATTTTTGAATGCTATCGCAAGGTGTGTGTGGACTACCTATATCAAAGATTTGAATTTATATTCTATTGTGTTGATAAATTCATATTTCATTGTGCTTTATATCTTCATAGGTATCCATGGCAGAATGGAGCTGTAGAACATGGACAACTGTTGTTGGACTGTATTTGGTATTTGTCAACAATTATTCAACCAGAATTGCCATATCACCTAATGTATGGTGATATACAGTCGAACGACACTTTGTATGGTAGCTCAAAAATATTTACAGAAGCTGTTGAAGAAAAAAATGAAATAGTGATGGGTCGTCTGGAAGACGTTTACAAACAAGATAAAAGAAAGCTATCTGTTTTAGCTACTGAAATCTTAGAAGTTATTCTCGCTTTAGGGGATGTGGAACTGGTAAGTATATGATTATTTTTCTTGTATCAAGACTGTAAAGTTCCGAATATAATTTCATGTCCATGCTTCTAATCATGGTTCCAATTTCATGATTCGAATGGGTAAAAACATGATTCCTCATTTTCTAGTTTTTTTTTTTCAGCTAACTAGTCTGATCCTTGAACTTTATATTGATTGCATCGCAAGACCTGAACTGAAAGAACGACGAAAATTTATTCTGAAACGAATTGAATATTTGGCTGACAAAAAGGGTGAACTTAAAACGCTATACAAACAGTTGTGTGATCTGGAATATTCTTGTTTAAAAAATAGATAAGAGCTACCGCTCTAAATTAGTCTACTTACAATTTTATCGACTTATTATACTTTGATCGTTATTACTATCGAAGTGAATTTTTGTGTTTCATATCTTCAGTTTATCGTGAATTGATTACTTCGTTTTATAATTCTTCTATTGACATATACTCATGTTCTGGCATTGGCTTTGTTTTTAGATTTCGTTTTCTTTGTAAAAACGATGCCGAATGTCTGTCAGGAAATAATGACACTCTGTTAAACAGTTATTTTCCTTCGACGGAGCACAAAGTTCTTCCTGAAAATATTTCAAATTTTTAGGATGGAAATGTTTATTCACGTGAAATAATTATATTCGTTACTTATAGATTTAATCTAAATTCTTCTCAAATATATGGTTTGAATTTTAATTTGTAATTATTGGTTGACACAACCTGTATTCTCTTATTTCAATGTTGTTGATGAGTGCTGCCTCGCAATCATTGTTGAAATCGAATGTTAGCGATACTGACCATTCAATTTTTTACATCATTCCTGTCTCAGCTGATGTTAATAAAAAGTCGGCAGTACATAACAACTAATCGCTCTCTCGATGTGTATATCAAAGAATACATCCCAAAGTTTATATTTTGGTTGACGTTCTTGCACAAAATAAATATTTATTAAACGTTTTCATAGTTCGGTTTTCAATTTTTACGTTTGCTGACAAGTCTCAATCTGCACCAATCATTTAAAACAAATATTTTTTGCATCTGATACTCTCGTCTGTTATTCTACTCATCTTTATATATCTATAATGATGGATATTTGAGATTAAGAGTTAATCCAACATTAATTTTACGAACAGTTCCGTAAATATAGCCTTGAATAGACATATTAATTACAAGTGCTGCAACGCAGAATTAGAGATTTTTTTAATTTCTTGTATTTGCCGTGAAAAATATACCACAGTTATCGTGAAGGTAATGGAGTTTGTTTTCAGATTTAAATTATTGCCGAAGCGTCAAACATCTTATCATGGATGATTTTATATTTCCAGAAGATGTCGACGAAGATAATGTAGACAGCAGAGTTTCGGACGATGATAAGAATGAAAGCAGTGGGATTAATTCTAAATTGGAGCTGAAGTCGGGCGATGACAGTGATAATTTAACTGTTGGCGACTGTGCTCGAACTATGAGCGACTCTCTGCTAGAATATGAAAGAGTTAAGAGGTGTCTAGTAGAAGTAGACCACTTGGCAACCCAAGTAAGAGAAAAATCTTAATACTACATTCAATTACAATATTGCAGTTCCTTTTAAATGTCTTCTCATGAAGACATTTAAAAAGATATGATTGGGTTTTACATGGAAAACACTTTTGTAATAAGTGTTTCCCGTGTAAAATTTATAAACTCCTGAACTAGCCTTTGAAAATTAAAAAAAAAGAATCGGAACTGTTCGCCTTTGTTTTCGCCAGTGATAAGCGAAATATTACTGGATTAAGTTTAGTTTGTTTTAGCTATCTTATGGAATGCGAATGCAAGCAGAAATGGACAAATGTGCTTTAGAAAGGAAAAATTTTCCTTTGAAACTTACGCTTAAGGTAACGTCATCATACTTTGCTTATTTGCAATAAAGCATAGATTTACCTCAACTTATGAAATATTTTGGCTCCATAATTATTGTATATTGCAAATGAATTTATATATCATATTTATGGAACATTAACGAATCCGCGATTTTAAGTAAACTTCGGTTTTTTGCATTTTTTCATTACTCATGAATAATAATAGAATCAAACTAGTTCATTTCATAAACTCTTCGAAAAGAAGGGAGAGTCCGAACTGTGAATTTTTTTGGCTGAAGATTTGTTGTCAAGTTATAACTGTGCATAAATAAAAATGAAATGTTCAAAATTTCAAGAGGCAAAAGTTAAGTTCTGGTTCTTCGCTATTATTTATTGAATTACGCAACGATTCACAATTTGAATTCACAGAGTGGCATTTAGCACTAACTACTTCATCCTATCAAGGAACAAGCGAAGAAACAAAAGGTATGCCAAATATTTGCAAATTAAAAAAAATTTGGTGGAATGAATGTAATTTTGTTAGATCTAAAGTTTTTTAGATAAAATATTCACGAAAGTAATACCGATTCGAAGATTGAAGCCATGCTCAGAATTCACTTATGAAGTAAGATTTAACTGAGTTTATGGAATATAAAGTGTAATTACTTTGTGATGTCACTAATGCAAAAATTTTCTTAGCTCAGTCAATATATGACAGGATTTTTCAGTTATTTTCCGCAGTCGAATTGCCAATATCACTATTTTTTCGAGTACATCTATTCAAATGTATTCATTTATCTGGAAGTATTGAACCTCGAGCCTTCAGAATTGCACTTGAACCTGTTTATTTGACTCATTGGAACACTATTAGTAAGACAGAAACATTGAAAAGTAGCACAAGTCGAGCAGTTTTATATGAAAAAGTTGATGAAGTTAGTATTCATAATGGCATATAATTTCGTAGTTCAAGTTTACATATTCTAAAAGGAGGAAGGAGAAAGATTGAGTTGCGGAGTGGTCTAATGAATAAGAGAAGCAAAACTAAAATGAAAAAAATTTTTCGGGTACATCTCGTGACCTGAGAGACTTTAAATGATTTAGAAATCAATTTCTGAACTACTGATGAATTTTAGGAACAAAAACTCACATTACCAGAAGCGTTAGTATATTTAATATGTGACGAGAAACAAGGAGAAACTGTGCTTCTGAGTTGGATCACCAACATGCAAAGCGATAAATTTAGCAGTGTGAATTGTTTGGTGTTGGACGATAACAATTCTTCATGGCCATTTTCAGTGAAAGTCAAAAAAAATGCTTTAAGTTACGACATAATACTAAGAATGAAAAATGCTAAACTAAGAAATGTATTGATACAGGAATTGCAGATGAGGATTTTGGTAAGTTTGTCGTACTCATATTTAAATAACAGATAGGAATTCATAACATTAGTCTTTCCTTATCCTGTTCCTTCTAGATAAAACTTTCATTTATTTCAATATTCGACTGTATTTTCAGGTGCGTATGCGATATATTTGGAAAGAGCTAAAAAATAAAAAAGATGTTGAATTGCAAGGAAATAAAAACACATTAGCAAGTTGTTTTGCTTCACTTATTTCCAAATATAAACGATAACACAATACCCATTATGTGTATGATATATATTAGTAATAAATTTGAGTGCTTGAACACGACACAATTATTAAATGATCACTCAGTAAAGGTGAAACTAATGATTGAATCTAACATGTTAAGAAGTAAACGAGACGAGGTAAAACTTCATTGTACTGAACCATCATCATAGTAGCATACTGATACTGGATATAAATTAGCAGCTATGCTCTCAATTATTTTTGAATTTCACACGGTCTACTTACAAGTTACCCTATCTGACTTGGCTCTTCTCTGTATTACAACTCATGCTGCAAAGAATCATCTGATTTTATTTGTTGAAACCAGTACTATCTAAAGCCTCGGCATGAACAAGACTATATTTTCAACGTTCTTTTCCTTTGCAATAGATTTAGATTGTCTTCCAAAATTATTTTTTGAAATATTTTGTAGAGAAATAAAACTCAATTTACATTGTTTGTTGAAGTAAGTGTAAGTTCGTTATTGTGCATTCTCAACAGTTTATCAAGTTGCCTTACTTTTTTTACAGTTCATGATCATAAGTAATGGTTCGCAAATTGAAATTTCACGAAAAGAAGTTGCTGAAGAAAGTTGATTTCATATCATGGGAACTTGACAATAATGTTCACGAAGCTAAAATATTGCGACGCTATCATATAAAAAATCGTCAACATTATTCAGTCTATAACACATTGGCAGCCAATGTAAGGTTTTTTTTTCATTTAATATGTCAAATACAAATATTTGCTACCATCTTTTATATGAAGTTATATTTGTATTTGCATGATAGATATAATTGTAAACGAAAACAATTTTTCTTTTCGCGGGCTTCAGTTAATTGCATAAAATGTTTTATGAATAGTGAGAGCTCCGTTAGTGACTTTCCTATAAACAAGCAAGTATTTGCTTCAAGATTAATGCAGTTTTTTTCGAATTTTTAGTGGTATTGATTATAGCAGTGGAATCATAGGACATGATATTTACCACAGGACCTTAGTTTTATGACATTTGTTATAAGCAAAAGCAGTCGTCCACGTTGATTACTTTGATAATATTTCAATTATAAATTTATGATAGATGACTCTGATTGGAAAATGCTCTAAAATAGTTTCTTGTGAGACAAGAACATGTTTGTCTATTTAAAATTAACGCTGAACATTTTACTGCAGATTCGAGAAATTGCATTGAAATTAAAGGAATTACCACTAAATGATCCCTTCCGTCTAAAAACTGTTCGAGAGTTTTTGGAAAAACTGTATGCTGTAGGGCTGATACCGACCGCTGATACCTTAGAACGAGCTAGCAAACTCACTGCTTCTTCATTCTGCAGGCGTCGGTTACCGGTACTTTCAAATATTTTAAAAATTTGTTCAAGATTATCCAGTTGTGTATTTTAATATTTTGTTTTTTGATACCAACAAAGCGACTCAAGCACCTAAGAATATTTAGTGCGTATATTTCTGCAATGGACAGTAAAATTACAGGTTGTAATGAAAAAACTGGAAATGGCAGAAACGGTTAAAAATGCCAGCGATCTCGTGGAGCAAGGACACGTGCGTGTTGGAACAGAAATGATAACTGACCCTGCATTTCTTGTTACTAGGAATATGCAAGATTGCGTAACATGGACAAAAGACTCGAAAATTCGGACACATATCCTTAATTATAACAATGAACGAGATGATTTCTTGTCATAAGTTGGAACTAATTGCTAGCAGTCCTACAATCTATTTTTTGTAACCGTTGTGTGGTTAGCTTATTGTGTAGAACAAAGCTAAACATGTTTGATATTAAAGATATTCTAATGTGTGCAACTTCCATTCTAGATTACGATACTGCTATTGTACATTGAATTTCGTTGCATTTTAGGCTATTGCTAACGATTGCAGTATTGTTGTAATCTGGTGAGGGTATTGGTTTGGTAATACAAATTTGATGGGGTGCTTGTTTCAGAAAAGAAAATCAATCTAAAAATAGACTGAAGACTTCAATAACACGCAGTGTACACGCTTATCGCTTTGTAATCTTCGAAAATGCTCAATGCTTCAAATCTGAAAATTGGAATGATGCACATTGGTTAATTATAAATGCTTGAGATCCTGAGTTAATGTATGTGAAGGGATACTTCTGTAGTTCAGTGCTTCTTAGAAACTTGCTAATGGGAAAATGTGCCATCAAGTTCGATCCCACCTCGAATTTTTATATACTGACGGCGATGATGTTCGAACCACGTTGAATTTCTTCAACTGAATAATCTGTAGAGAATTACTGAATGGTAGCGCTCTGAGCCGATTATATATGTATTAGTACGAAACATCAAAAAAGAGAAGTAGTAACTGTAACACGTCCACATTTGTAATACTAGTGAACACAACATACTGACTTTACTGATAAATTGATAACAGCCACATACGTCGTGATAATGAAGTCATGGTTTTGTCAATACATCTGTGAAGCGTAATACAGGTAATAAGGCGTAAACCTCTAGAACGAAACTTGCGCAACACCATGCAACATTGCAATCACGTAGTTAACTCCGAATAAAGTGTGAAGAAGCATAGACGGGTAATTTCTTCGTCCCAAATACCAGATGACTTGAAAACATATTTCTTAAGTACTTCATTGTGGAAGCTCATTAGAACTGACAGCAAATACACTGTGTGCAAGGATTTTACAAAGCACAACAAAGTCCACTGCAGAAGCATGTCGAAAAGCTGCAGTCATCATTGCGTCTTAACAGATTAACATTTACGTATCATCATACGTATAACCGTTTCCATCGCAACATCTGTTTGTAAAGTTTTCTACACTAAATATTGCGATATTACAGAACTTAATCTCAATTCACATCAATTATTTCGGGAATTACTATATGCTAGGTACTTATCATGACAAAAGCGCATTCTCAACGGTAACTAAAAAAAACTTGATCTACAACAAGTTTTAATTCTTTGCAAAATAAATTGGTTTATATTTCTGTTCATGATTAAAAACACAAGAGTGATGGCTCACATGATAGTACTTTACGTTCATTTGTAATCAATTTAAGAAAATTCTTTTGAAGAAAAGAGTAGTATTGCTTAGTCATTCCTTTTATTAAAGCTCATAATTAATAAGTACAGGGTTAGAAACTCCGAATGAATACGAGATCTTTTAATTAACTTAAAAAATTTTCTTGAGACCATGCAGCGGAAAAATGAAATTTCATAAAGAATTTGGACAACTGGTAGATGAAGAAGATTCTACATTTGTTTGAAGTTCTGGTGATGAAACTCGAGTTCGTTTCGACTCTTCCGACGAAATTGTTGCAGTTCGTTTAGAAATTCGTTGATTTCGACCAGCCGAACTGCTACAGTCTTCATAAAATTCGTTATCCCCTTCTACGTAGTTGTCATATTCTCGTGCTGAAGTAAGATGTGGAAAACAACACCAATAAAGTAAACAAGGTCAGAAGGCACAAATATGCTTATGTTTTTTAACCAAACATGCTTTAAGCTCTTCAATAGGACATTTTTTCGAGATATTAGATTTCACAACTTAATTTATTTCAAAATAATGACTTTTACTTCAAATGCGTGAAAGAATTCCATATGCAACTAAAAACTTACCCCAAAAAAGCTCATTTGAAATTTGCATATTCCTTTGACCATATGCTGAACTGAATGATTGGTCTGTCACGGCTGAAAAAACTGAAATCAAAGACCCTCGAAAAAATTTGAAGAAAAGGACGAAATTCCTATAACTTACACTGCAGTTGAACACTAGGTGAGTGCGGTATGCAACGCAAATGCTCGAAAATCATCGATCTGAAACAGAGAAAACAATTTAGTTCTTTCGGTTATAATGAAATCTATATTCAGAATCTTGAAATACAAATACAAGGTATATAGAATACATTAATATACAAATTCACAGAAAATAAAATTCAATACTATCTTTGTTCCAACATATTTGCTAAAAAAGTCACTAAATATTTTTTATCATAATAACGGCATGGAAGGAGCTATTGAATTAGATGCCGCAAATTAGTGTCATAACATTAAATACATTATTAAGCAAATGTTTTCTACTAAATCAGCAATATGACCGAAATAATTTTTAAAAGATTACCGTATTTTATTAAGATAACTTACTGTATTTTATTAAGATAACCAGGTGAGTTTAGATTGTTCATATTTGAGGGAGTAATATGAAGTTTAAAGTCACTCGCGTAGTACTCAAAATAATCATTGTAAGGCAACTCTAAAACAACACAGTTTAGAAAATATAATAAAAATGCACGAAAGCAAGAAATGTCATGTTATCAAAGAACTTTAAGCTACACTGAATGATGGAGCTCCTCACCATTCGACAACTCAACATCCAGAGCTATTGATGTTTCATAAGCCCAGCAACGCGCGACATTAGAAATAGTATAACCACCTCCACCAAGCAAAAGAAGTGGAAGGTTGAACTTCTTCATAAATTCAACGCAATTTCCATGCCCTAAAATTCAAAATTTGCAAAATTCGTTATGTGGAAGGCCACATAGTTGCTATTTTTGAAGCTAAAATAAGGCGTAAAAAAACACAGCAATAACCAAACTTAAAGTTGGTTCTTTTTTACGACCGGAAATTTTACATTTTGAAAAAATTTAATTGAATCGTCACACAATACAACCAATAGTTGGATAAAGCTTTACTCAAGAATTGAAGAATTAAAAAGAAATGGATATATTGTCATTTACAATGAAGCACCTTTTATAGAAAGGTTGAAAGGTCCAAGTCTGTCGCCAACTAGTGAGTCGGCACCACACTGCAAAACAATTGCCGATGGCTGGTACTTCAACATAACCTAAACTACAATGCTTTTGAAAAAAATGTAAGATAAATGAGTTAAGACTTCAGGTAGTTCGTATTTTACAAAATTAAATATTACGGAGAACAATAGACCAAACGCTGTTTAATACTTATTTATCGCGAAACTAAACGCTCAACAAAATGATCTTAACATGAAAGAACAGAGAAATCGAATGAAGCATAACTTAAAAAGTAACCTGACTCACAACTGTCTGAAATATTCGCTGAAACGTATCATCGTCAATACCGTCAAGCAAAGGAAAATTCACAGAATAGTGCTTTCCTTTACCAGAACCGATATCCTAAATGATTCAACCAATTGAGTAAGATGAAAAATTTAATATGAGACCGGAAATCCTATTCGATATAAAAAATCATATAGGCTTGTAATTGAATATCTCTAAATGAAATGAAACAAAACAAAGGGAAAAAAATACTGGTCTCAATAAGCCAACCACAAAACTGAAATCAGGTTTTAAAATATCAATTTAGTTCTTCAATTTTCACCTTAACATCTCCGCTGCCCGGGAAATATTTACCAAACTTATGGAATGACAATGTCATTACTCGGTCTGTTGTATAGAATGCCTCTTCCACTCCATCACCATGATGGACATCGATATCTACGTACAGAACACGCTAGAAAAATTCACTATTTGTAGTAAATAACACCCCAAAATTCGATAATTGTCAATGCTTGTAATTCTTAAGTGACCAAAAAATTTCCGACTACCTCAAAAAATTTTTATTCACTCATTATTAATGCAGTCACAAACTTGGTGATACTTCAGGAGTTCAAGAATCGCTAGAACAATATCATTAGTATAACAAAATCCAGATGCTTCGCTTTTCTTGGCATGATGTAAACCACCCATCCAGTTTATTGCTATATCCGCCAAATTTCTGTTAAGCTTTTTTGCTGCAGCTAAAGTAAACATAAAAGTAATTACCTTAGATATTCCGTACTCGAAAAATTGTTCATTTTTTATTTTTTCGTCCTTGTCTTTTGAGTAGTTGAAAAAGGCAGTTTCCAAAAAATCTAAAAATGTTGAAAGCACTTACCAAGTGAACCACCGCAAGAAGTTTGACAAAATTCATAAACACCATCAAAAACAGGACAGTCCGCGCCAACATTGTCTGCAAAAATTAATAAACCTACACATATAAATGACATCGGTTATTATTATAGACTAGAATAGATCTCATAAAAAATTGCCCTCAGTGACTAAAATGATAACAATAAGGTTTAAGAACAAAGCTAATGTTTTCAAAGCTATATTTGATAACGATCTATTAATCGACATGACACAATTTATAGTTCAAGTAATCTAAAAAAATGAATCTAGAATAACAACTTACACCGTTCGCAGAGTTTAGATGTATGGCCATTAATTACATCTTCCGGTCGTATATTCTTCAAAAACGTTAAGTAATCATTACTGTGATACTGAGTCATTTCTTCAAATGAAGCAGTATAGGGTCTCTAAAAAGCCGCCAGGGAATAACAATAGTAATTTATTGCGATAACCAAATTCTTAATGATAAAAAAACCTTCGAATAAATTAAAATTCCACTTATATGAGTTCAGCTACTGCTTTATTATATAGCCTAAAACGAATACATATATTGGTTGGATTTTGAATTTCCATTTATATTAACTGATACAAGCAAAAAATTCCACCAATTCATTCCTTAATAATTAGTTTCCGTACACGATATCATTTAGTTAAATGAGTTTATATATTAAAAAAACATTAAATGAGATGAAAGTTTTGAAGACCCACATAAACTTGCATTCGCCGATAGAGACCATAATTAAGAATAAGGTTATGGGTCATTCGAATTCTGTGCGGTTTCATAGGATGCCCTACACCATAATAATAGTTTCCAACATCCCCTGTAAATATTGCAGAATTGGATCTAATTAAAAATATCTAAAATAAATCATTACTTTAAGCACAATATTACGGTTTAAAAAGCCCTATAAACACTGATCGTGTGAAATTAATATAGGTTACATTAATAATACCAGAAACAAATATGGAAGTTTTTTGTTTATTAATTTCAATTTTATGAGTACTATTTTATCGTTTAATTTTAATTTAACTACAAGCACTATTAGCCGCAGAAATAACTAACTACGCATATACATCTAGTATAATCATGACATCTAAGAAAACCAACCATCATAATAATATGCGACCTTCGTAGTGCTATGAGACCGGAGAGCCATACTAATCGACAGTAATAATAACAGAAGAATGTAAATTTGCTTACGCAAATTCCTGGCTGTCTGAAAGATCCAGACAGATCAAATTCCATTAGACAACAAAACTGAATCTTTAAATCATAATTTAAGAGTTTACAAACAAATCCTGATTACAAACTATGTGTAAAGAAAAAAATTTGGAACTGATAGTTTAACAGTGGACATCTCACTAGCATATTTAAATTACTATTTTGCTTAAAATTTTAAGTTGCAAATACAGAGGTTAATCAAAAAAATAAATTTTATACAAATAAGACATATTTTGCACAATAAAACACTCAAAAAAACGTATATATCGATTTATTACAATCAGGTGATAGAATTATTACGATGACTAAATGTAACCAAAAGCCGAACTGTCTGCAAAATAATTTCTATGCATTATATACAGCACATTTTCTCACATGCATAAATTAGATCTCAGATGATAACACAAAAATGCCCTAGCAATATGCCAAAAGTAAGAATAATTGATGTAAACGATCAAATAACTTTGAAATTCTTGCATACATTCCTGCTTCAGCAAAAAAAACGAAGATATGCCCTCAAACCAGACAAAACTTTCGACCCCATAAAAAATATTAGACAGAATCATTTAATAATATAACGTAAACCAAGACGAGATTACGCACAAGTTTGAAAAAAATAAATTTATTACCGAATTATGAGAACATGTGCTTCTGTCCTATACAATTATTGTTGAATAACAGGATTTAGATGTAAACACGGAGCACAAATTACTAGCACACAATTGCGCAACAAACCTGTTACCTTACTGATGAAGAGTTAAACAGAAATTTCATAGGAACGAATAAAATATTCAATCATTATTTCTTTAATATCTTTGAATTTTTCATAGTGAGACTTCTACCTCATCTACTACTAAAAACAATATTTAATCTTCTAACCTTTCTTAGCAAAGTTGCGTACAAAAAGCATATCACGTGCGCCCATGCCTCATCCCATCAAAAGCTTAGAATATGAATCATCACTAGTTTAAAAATGCATGTTGTTGAACTAGTTGATGTCAGACACAGTATGCCCATATGATTCACACAAACAACACATGCCGATATAATTCACATAAATAACACAGTATGCCAATACGATTCACACAAAGAACACAGTATGCGACAGATTCCTTTATTAATGGGCTTTATATACACACGTTTATGTTACGTTACGTACCACTCGCACACTGCGTAACAGAAGTTCGGGTCAGGCTGTGTGGACCGTAATTGTTGGCCACATATTTAGATTGGAACAGGTTGGTTGTACAGTTTGTGGTTCATCATTACGGTTTCATTATGCAAAACATTTGGTTCAAGGATCTGTTCGTGCCACGTTTGTTTACGTAGTACGTGCATCGGCAAAACTGGTTGACCCTAGTTGATATTGCTTAAGTTCTTTTTATTTACTTGTTTGTGATTCAAATTATTTCAGTTCATTCTTATGTCATGTAGTGAATGTTTATTGACAGTCTTTGAGTATTATTAATTTCACTGCTATGTAAAATAGCACTGTGGACTCATTAGTAAGATATGTTTTCATCGTCGTTACAAATCAAGATATTCTTGTCATTTTGACTTGTGGCAGGGGATTTTGATGAAATATGATTTTTATGTTTTTGCTATCACATGTGAGTGCTGATTATTGTAAAGCGAGGTTTTGGAATAGGTACCATATTTGATCTTTTTTTTGAGGTTTTGGAATAGGCACCATATTTGATTTTTTTTTTGAGGTTTTGGAATAAGTACTATATTTGATCCTTTTTTTGAACCGTTAAAATCTCTCAGCAAATTAAAGTCCCCTTACTAATCAGTAAAATACTATGATATATTACAGTCTAATCAAATTTTTGGGCTTCAGAAAAAAATAGATCTGAATTAAGAAAAAGAGAAAGGATTTCAGTGCATGGATTTCAAGATTTTATTCATACATTTCCTTTTTGAATTTTGTGTTCTATCTTTGACGGTACGTCTACTCACGTATATTCTGTTTCTTGACAGTTTTAGATAACTACCAAGTATCTTCAAAGGAAGTCGCTGTGAATTGCACTTGAAAGCATCTGTCGACTTAATATTGTGGTGTGAAGGAAATTAAAAATATATAATGATGACTTTACTGTATTTAGTTATAAATAAGGTTTCAACGCGGAAATGGTGGAAGAAGACAAAGATAAAACTGGAAATGATTTGTCGGCGTTATTAGATAGTGCATTGAGTGATTTCGGCCGCACACGTAACACGGATGATGAGATAGACTCGTTGATGAATGCTATGGACGAGCATGCTGCACAGAAAGCGGCCCAAAAATTTGATGTATTGATGAAAATGCATCAAGATGAATACACTCGTTTGGTATTATTTCATATCACTCCATCATGTTAGATCAGTATAAGATTTCCATTTTACAGTGAAAGATTAGTAATTACTATGAATAGTTATTGGTATTTAAATGTTTTACTGATATGGAAAAAGCAGTTATTAAAAGAAAGCCGTTTTTGTAATTGTTGGTAGCAGTATCTTTTTAATATTTTCTATTTTTGACATTCCCTTTTTGAATGAATTAATTTATATTGCAACTGTAATTATAATTTTGATTATTATGCTGAATTAAACAAAAAAATGGCTGGAAGTCTGTAAATTGAGTTATTTGATAGATATATTTTTAAAATTTTTTGTGTAATTCTGTTGAAGAAGTTCATACATCTATAAATTCGGTTCATAAAATAAATATGTCATATTAGCAGCCAAGCGGTAGTTCATCTGAAACCACTCGAATGACTACTGAAGAAAGAAAAGCTGCCGAAAATTTTCAAACTATGCTCAAAGCACTGATTGATGCTGAGCAAAAAACATTAACTGAGTATCCACCTAAGGAAAATGGCGATAATGATTATAATCGAGCCAGTGCTGAAAATTTTATCGAGCGACTGAAAGCAAGTTTGATCATTAATTCTATTCTAGAGGAGTACTTCATTTATATGCATTATATATATTATGTTGAGACTATCATGGTTGTTGTGTTTCAGTGATAGAAAAATTTCAAGTTCTATCGATTTCCTGTTTCAGTATGTAAAAGCAATAGAACTTCTGTTTACGATGAAATAATTTTTCGTTTTAGTGGTTTAAAAAAAAAATCTCTTATGAAAGTTCCTAACGCATTATTAGTTTTCCTCGCAAATTGTGCCGTTTTAAACGCTTTTCATATCTAGAAACTGGCTGAACAAGATCCAGAAAATCTAACAGATGAGTCTCAATATGAAACATTGATGAGTCTTGTTCAAACATTCTTTTCCAAGGATTTGATGTATCCACCTTTGAAACAACTTTTGGAGAGATTTCCGGAGTTAGTTTAATCCATTTCAGAGGTTTTTAAGAGAAGAAGAGAGTGAGAAATAGGACAAAAGAAAAGTATGCATAGATTGCATTCTTTCATTATTGTTGCTTCGCAAATTTTTTCTCATTTATCATTATAACATTTTTTGTTGTTTTTTTAGACACGAAAATGTTACTGAAAAAAGTTGATTAGGGACGTTATAATTTAAAAATTTTAGTATCGACCACTTTTTGCCTCGTGAACACTGAGAATAGTTTTTGTTTTAAACGCTAAAGTGATTATTACTCTGAAGTAACAAATTAACAAGAATGTTAGCATAAAATTAATAAGGAAAGATATTCTAATAGTCTTCAAGTATAGATAATATATTTCATTTCATTAAATTTCTACATTACCAAAATATATTGACCATTTTTGATATAGAAAGTTCGTAGTAAGTTTTTAATAGAATTTAGAGCTTCAAAAAGATGTCTGCATTGCTTACAGGAAAATTAATGCCATTTATTGCAGGTATTTTGCTAACCATACTGAGTTGGATGCAGATACGAAAGCTCGTTATGAAAAGCAAATAAATGTCATGGAACGTATATGTAGCGAATATGAAAAAGACGAAAGCGAAGATTTTGATGAAATGAAACAAAGGTTCGAAGTAATAACCTCATTAATGGTAGAATTGCAGTCTTATGGTTACCCTCCTGAAGAACTACTTGGAGAAGCACCTCCAGGTTGGGCTAGAGATCCTGAGACTGGTATGCCCAAAGTAGATAATGTCTCGAAGGCCGCCGAAGCTTGCTCACTTATGTAACATTATTTATTAATGTAACATTAATATATAATTTATACCATGTCGAATTAATTTCGCATCTGTTAGAATTTTAGTGTAATCTTTATATTGTTCTTGCCATAAAGTAGCATTTTTCTTATCATTTTTGAATCTTTTCAAAAACTGAAAAATTCGGGTATTTCGATTTCTGTTTATTTTCGCGTCTAGAATTAGCAGAAAAATGCATTTTTCATACGAGAAATTAGTTTTTCCTTCTGGATTTTTAATAATGGTTATTAATATGAGTTAAATTCTGTTCAAAAAATTTCGTTACTTGTGCCATACCGGTTGAGATATGATTGTCTTAAATCGAAAAAAGTAGAGGCAATTGTTTATGTTGCGAGTTTTTCAATGTTTTGTATGAAGAATGAGGATACTTGTTTTATGAGTTTGTGCCAGCATTCGTTGTTATAATATTATTATTACCATAAAATAGGTATAGTTGTATTCTTTGCATTGACTGAAGAGTTGTTAAAGCTCTAAATATTGCGTTTCAAGTTGTGAAATTTGTTGAAAACTTTCTCACTTTCATCTCTTAGTCAGTGAAATTTCTCAAGCATCTAAATTTATTAGGTGAGTATTACAATGTCTGATGACGATGAGTCTAGTGATGAGCAACTCGAACAGGATTTGATGGAGAACTCTGCAAGCAATCATGTATGTTTAGTAAATTATTATGTTTTCCCAACTTTCAACTACAAACATTCATTGAGATCATTACGTATATTTGTGCAATTTCTCCATTAATAAAGCTTTTTGTATCAAAGAGACAAATTCAGGAGTAACATAATTGTTTAATCTTTCTTGTTGGGTTTGGTTAGAATAGTGCAGTAGTGGGTGTCTTATATATGTTTCAGTTCGTTATAATTATTTGTATCTGAAATTGGTAGAAGTGGTATAATTGTTTTTAGCAAAATCACTGATGCCTAGTACGGATATTTCAGGGTAAAAGCGATGAAGATGGGATTCTTGAAAGTGATGATGAAGACGTAAGAACTATTCGAAAACGAAAGGTTTTATTTCGGCATTCTCACCAGATAATTACAGCACTTGTCATGTTTCATTTGGAATCGGAAGATTTCAGCGTTTCATTGATGAAGATGATGAGGAGGATGACGATGATGATGATGATGATTATGAAGAGGAAGATGATGATCGTCGTAGTAAAAAGTCGAAGAGAAGGAGAAAAGTATTATTTTTGCTATTTTGAGTTTTATTGTTTCGACTTTTAAAATGGGTGTTTAGCGACGCACCGGAGTACATCAGTTCATCTTGGACGATGTAGAAGTAGATGAAGATGAAGAAGAGGAAGATGGCTACGAAGAGGATGGTGATGAGATGGGGATCGATCCAAGAGAAAGGGAAGAAGCTGAAAGAATGATGAAAGAACAGGATGAAAGAAATCGTAAAGGACGTCGTCGTGATCTGTTCAGGTCTTTACTTTACTCTATCGAGTAAAAAAATACGATTTTAATTAAAAATTTGCAAAAGTGTGAACGACAATATTATAATTTTAATGAATTATTCTAAAATAATTTCAGAGTTATCTTATCACACGTGCAGATTAGTTTGCATAATATAATGCAAAAAATTATTCAGATTTCAGCTAGATTTCTATTTATATCAAGTCAAAATATATATTAGCTTTCTGAATATATTAGTTATTGTGTAAAATGCTGACACAGTTTTCAGTGGAATGAATGAAGATCAAATAGAAGACTATTTCAAAAAAAAATATGCAAATCAATCGTCATATGCAGGTGTCATGGATGATGACACTGCCTTAGATGATATAAGCCGCCAGTCTCTGCTTCCTAGCACGAATAAAGACCCAAATTTGTGGATTATCAAGTGCCGTTTGGGTGAAGAAAAGCTAGTTGCATTGCAGCTGATGCGAAAGTTTATTGCTTACGAAAATACTGACAATGTCAGTTTTTTGTTCCGTTGTATCGAGTTTTAAGAATTTGCTTATTTCTCATTTGGAAAATTCAGATGCAATTTTACTTCCAGCCTTTGCAAATCAAATCGGTAGTTGTGAAAGAAGGTCTGAAAGGTATGATTTACATAGAAGCATTCAAACAGTCTCATGTGACGACTGCAATTACTGGCATTTCGGCTTTAAATCAGTTCAAAATAGCTATGGTTCCGATCAAAGAAATGTGTGATACGTTAAAAGTAGCCAAAGACATTCCATCTTTGAAAAACGGAATGTATGTTCGATTAAGGAGGACCATGTATCGTGATGATTTGGCTCAGGTTTCAATCTGCTAAATATATATATTTTTTATATTTATGTGTTTTGCTTGGCATGTTCATCTCCTGTAGTACTAGACAAAAAAGCTTGTTTTTGAAACAGGTTGACTGGGTAGATGTTGCGCACAACAAAGCTTACTTGAAGCTGATACCGCGTATAGATTACACTCGCATGCGTGGAGCACTCAGAGCACCGGTTAAGTTTTTATATTTTGATGAAATTTTCATCAAGAACTTCATTTCTTTCTAATTTAATGAGCATTGTTCTTGCCTTCAGGATGAACCAAGATTGGTGAAAATGAAACGACGGCCACAAGCTCGGTTGTTTGATGTTGATAGAATCAAGTAGTTCCATCATTTTTTTTACTTAATACTTATTTTGGTATTTTTGCTCAATGTGATGAAATTAGTGGTGGATTGTATTGTCAGGTTAACTGGATCAGTAGAAGTACTATCTTATAAATATTCAAAAAATGGACACAAACCTCGTTAAATTTTCTGGCATTTCCTTTTCTTTTGTCTTTAGAGAAATTGGTGGAGAAGTTTCAACGGATGGCGATTTTTTGACATTTGAGGGAAATCAGTATCGTCGGGGTTTTTTATACAAATGGTTTCCGCTTAACATCATCGTAAGTACCATTTTTCTTTATTTGGGAGAGTCAAAAGTGCGCTGTCATATTTTCATTAAAAATCTGTCTTTCCCTTCACATAGTTGAAAGACGCAATTCCATATTGTCTGAGAATCTTGAACTTCCTGAATGGAACAGTAAAGTTTTCGAAATGAAATAGTGTGAAAATGCAATAACTTTGCAGCAAGTAGATGGTGTGAAACCTTCTCTCAATGAACTTGAAAAATTCCAAGAAACAAGCGATGACTTAAAGAAAGAATGTATGTATTTAACTGTTTTGGCATGTTTTAGCCAGAAATTCAGAATTTTAGCAGAAATATATTTGAATGCATCTTACTGAGTAAGAATAGATTTATTGTCTTTGGATTTTCTCAAAATTGTGTATGATTAAAAGTTGCTGTAAAAATGTGCTTTTTTTTTACAGTAGAAGGAGTGAAGATAAAAGATTCATCCTACATTTTTGCACCCGGTGATTACGTGGAAGTAGCGGATGGTGAGTTGGTGAATCTACGTGGTAGGATTCAAAGTGTTGATGGTGAAAAAATAGTCATGATACCTGACCATGAAGACCTGAAAGTATAATTTTTTTATCCAGTTGCAAAAAAAATTGAACGACTCTCAATTAGTAAGAGTATTAGTAAGAGAAACAGGCAATTTATGTAATTTTTCTGCTTAGTTTATATGTCAATTATATTCAAAGCCAATCTAAAAATCGCCTAAAAATTTTATTTATTCTTAATTAGAGGAATTTTTTTTCATTTCACAGAACATAGTTGATAAAAAATGTTATAGGAACCACTAACATTGAACGCCTGTGAGCTAAAAAAATTTTTCAAAACTGGTGATCATGTGAAAGTCATAAATGGTCGCTATGAAGGAGATACCGGACTGATTGTTCGCGTGGAAGATAATCTTGTCATTCTGTTATCCGACTTGACAATGCATGAGGTCAGTAATGACTGGCATAGAATGTTGTTTTGCATTTTTCTTTCATTTGCTATAATTAGCATCAGTTTTAGTTAAAAGTATTACCACGAGATGTACAACTGTGTGCAGATGTCACTACTGGTGTGGATTCTTTGGGGCAGTTTCAGTATCAAGATCTTGTTATGCTGGATCAGCAAACAGCAGGTGTCATTGTTCGCATAGAGAGAGAATACTTGGAAGTACTGAACATGCATGGCAAAGTATTGTACTTGATTTTTTCTCTTTTGTATTGCTTTGGTCTTGAATCTGAAGTCGTAAATTGCAGGTTGTACGAGTAAAGCCTCAAGCAATTCATGGAAAAAAGGATACTCGTTTTGCACAGGCACTTGATAGTCAACAAAACAGTATTCAAGTGAAAGATACCGTTAAAGTTGTGGATGGACCGTATGCGGTCAATTTTATTCTTGCCTTGGCTGAAAGATTTTTTATATAATTTCGAAAAAAAATCCGGAAATGGTAAATTGAGGGATTGAGATAATGAAGAGCCGAATTTATCAATTTCATTCCCCATTATTTTTATCAAACAGTCAAATTTATCATTTTTCTTAATTATTTATTGTTGACATGTCAAGAGGTTATTTTTACTAGAAATACACTGGGAGATTTTAAAAATTTGATAATATCTCTTTTTTTTTTTTTGATCTGAGTTCCATTTTTTAATTGGATAGTGTGTTGTTCTATCTTTTTAAATATAACTGTGTTTATTTCATAATTTAATAAAATAAATATAGTCAGTTTATTGTAGTTAGAAAATGGCTTTTTATTTTATTTTAGAGTCGTGGAGATATAGAAGATGAGAAACAGGGCGAAATTAAACATATATATCGTTCTTACGCTTTTGTGATGTCTAGAAAACACATAGAAAATGGTGGCCTCTTCGTTTGCAAACCAAGACATTTACTTTTAATTGGCGCACGAGCAAGCACTAAAAGTATGTATGGAGTCGGAAGTTTTTTCATCACTGCACCTTCATGTTATTTGTTTCATTTAGAAGGTCTCATAATTTAGTTTTGTGGTTACGTGATGCTAATAAAAATTTTTTATCGATATTATAACTACCTTGCATATCCTAAGTGTTTTATAATTTTGCTCAATATTTTTTATATTCAGTTGGAGATTTCACTGTAAAAGGATTGGCAACACCAGATCCATTTTCAAGCCCTCGGCACATTGAATTAGGAGGCCAAACTCCTCGACCTGGTAATATGTCTAGTGGTAGAAGCATTAGAGGCGGTGCTACTCCTTCCCAACATGGCAAGTTTACTTGTCTTTATATAATATAAGAATTTTTTTTTAATTTCAATTCATAAGCGATTTTTTGCATTATGTGTTTGTTTAATTGTTACTTTTTCATTTCTTTTCTCAGTTGAAAAAAATATTCTTAAAGACAAAAATATTCTTGGTAGCTAATGCTTCATCTTCTCTTAATTCGCTGAAATTTTTTGAAGCTTAAAAGCATCAGATAAGTTTTATATGATTCCAGAAGGTAGTTCAGTTGGTGTACCAAGTACGGGGGGCTTCGAATCTCATAATCGGATCCGTCGAGATAATCAAATTATTGGTAAAAGTGTAAGAATCACACAAGGCCCGTTAAAAGGGTACTTCGGTATTGTGAAGGATGCTACTGAGCAAACTGCTCGTGTAGAATTGCATTCTAATTGTAAGGTAATCTTTTTTTCTGATCCTTTTTTCTGACTCGGTTTATTTTTAGTAAAAATCTGCAGAATCTCTTTTGCATTATATATATTGAACACTACGTAAGTTATGGAAAAGATTTTGCAAATCGTTCAGAACATTTCTGTCACGGTGCTTTGGCTAGTTCTTTCTTTACTGCTTTCGATATCTTTTCCATTAATATAAAAAATTATGCATTTAATTTAATGAATCAATTGGTCAGACCATCAGTGTTGATCGTTCTCGAATAATGATTGTTAGTGATGGTGCAGCAGGTGGTATGTTGGTTGGAGGATTACTTGGTAGAACACCATCTGGTGATAGTCGAACTCCTATGTACAGTGGTGGTAGTAAAACTCCAATGTATGGGGCCCAAACTCCCATGTATGGTTCTCAGACGCCTCTTCATGAAGGAAGTAAGCTGGATCTATTTTTTTTAATAAATTAGATTATATAAGTAACTTTCGGTTTCAGTTATCAGTTTTATTTTTTCTATGTTTCGATAATCTCTTTAACTTCATAGTGTGGAGACATTGTAAGTCTTAATGATATAAAGCATTACTTTGGTTAAAGTTCCTGAAATATTAGGTTGTCTTACTAATTCCAGTTTTTGAAATTTTATTTCATAGGTCGGACACCTCATTATGGTGCTATGACACCATCCTATGATGGCGGACGTACTCCTGTACATTCTTCGGCTTGGGATCCATCCACAACACCAGCACATCCAGTTGGTGATGACATTCATTATGATGAACCTTCGTCACCTTTCAATGTTCCTACTCCTGGCACAGCGAATCCACATACTCCTGGCTACAATCCAGATTCTTCTCTCGGTAATGTTCGCAAAAACTTTTTTGCTCTCAGCGTGCATAGTATTTGCAAAAGATATTTAAAATTGAAAAAATGTGTTTCTAGGACAGTCATATGCGCCAATGACGCCTGGTGGAATGTTTGCTGATTACGCTGCTCCGAGCCCTTTTTCGGATGGTCGTAAGTTTTTTTATTCCGTTCTGTTGATAAATGCACTTCAGAATTTTCGGCACTATAAAATCTACTCACTTCTGGCTACAGTCCATATTTTTATCCGAGTAGTATTTATCAAACTTTCTGAATTATTCTTTGATATTTTTGCGTCATTATTTTAGATTCAAATACAGACAACAGTGCTGTTGGATTTGGTGCCATGCGTAAGTGTTTCCATTTCGTGTGAAATAGTTCGATTCCTTGAGTAAATTACATTTTTCATATTCATATGCAATTTTTTATTATTTTAATTTTCAGCACAACATGTATTAAATTCTGGAGAGTGGGTCTCTGTTGATATGGTGGTTCAGTTCCGAAATAGTTATGATGATGATGAACTTAAATGTCAGGAAGGAACTGTGAAAAGCATCGATACGATTGTAAATATTTCATCAGATTTTTTAGTTTATATTTTTCTGAAAACTAAAAACTATAAATTCCAGGAGGGTCGTTGTACCATCTATTCATTTGAATTAGATCGCGAGGTGACAGCATATTTTGATCAAATTCTTCCCGTCAAACCTCAACAAGGTGATAGGGTAAGTTTTTGATTTGTTTGAAACTCTTTTATGTTGAAGTAGAACCCATAAAAATTAGTTGAAGTCAGAGTTTGTAATACTTCTCTGTACAAAAGAAGACAAGGAATTAATATAATTTGTTTGCAATATAGTATTGTAAATGAAGGTGTCAGTTCATTGTAAAAAATGTTTTCTGAATTTCTTAGTTTATAAAATTAGTAATTATCATAATGCAAGCAGCCCATAAACTGTTGAACTTTGCAGAACACTTGAACTTTAAATATTAAATTATTTATGTTTAGGCAAAAATAATATATGGTGACGATATTGGAATAAGTGGTACTTTAGTGTCTGTAGACAATGCAGAAGCAGTGGTAAAAACGGACAATAATGATATTGTATTGAGTCATATTGATTCACTTTGTCGTATGGAGAATTTGTAAATCCAGTTTCTATTTTTATTATTAGTTCTCGTTACTATATAAACTGAGTAAACTCGGTACAGTGGTAACAACAACTTACCTTGCGCACTTTAGTAGTAAACAACATTTATTAAATTGTTGATTTTTTTTTGATTTGTGTGATAATATTTTTCATATATGATGTGATTAAGACTTATTTAAAAGCAGTGGTAAAAAATGGATAAAATGTGCTCATTCAATTTCACAGTGTTGATTTACTAGTTACTAGTTTTGATACTAATATCTTCATTTATAATATTTCGACTTAATTTTGCTTCTTTCTGTTTTTCGTACACCTATTCTTATCTTGCCATTCTATCATAAATCATTGAACCCTTCAGAGTTTTTTGTCATAATTAAAAAACAGTTCACAAATTGCTGCAAAGATCATTTTTTCCTTCGTTTCTTTTTATATATTATAATCATAAGTATGAAAGGTCATTATTCTATTCTAGTTATGGGAGAGTTCACCCCAAGGTTTGAGCGTGATTTAGAAAATCGGAACACCGGTCCGAAAGCATTACCTACCGCCGGTGCAATTGCTGTTAAAAATGAAAAGGGTGAAATAACTATGCAGAAAGTAAAAGTGGTTCGCTATATGGCTGGTAAAGTGTATGTTTGATTTCTCATTTGTTATTCAAAAAAGTGATTCTTCAGTTATCAAAATCTATTAAGATCTGTCACCAGTAACTTTAGGATTTTCTGAAAAATTTTGGTATCAAACCAATATCATGTAACGATATTTCTGTGTTGAGTTTTAGACCTGCTTATGCTGTTGGAAAAAATGAATCTTCTGCTGGAGAACAAAGTGATGATGAAGAAGAGAAAGCACTTGGTGACGTTCGACAACGAGAAACGTATGTTTACTTTAGTAATGTGGATTTCAAGTAGTGCTGTTTTTCAAGTACCCATCATATTAAGTTCTTACTTTTTTATCGCAATTTATCGTTTAATTTTGGAATCAGAAATAATTGCATGGTGAATATTGGGATAAATTGTATACTAAGGGATTGAATTATTCAAAATTATCTCACTTAATATGCTTCTTGCATTTTTATACAGTTTTAGAAACAAATGAAGTATTTCATTTATTTGTGATGCTCGGTAAATTCGAGAGTAATGGTTGTGACGTGTAGATATGCTTACATTTAGGAGGCGTGTAACCGATGTTACTAAAGAGAGCGGAAATTTAAGTAGCTCAGATGACGAAGAAGAAGCAGAAAAAAGGCGAACTAGAGCGAGATTAAGACGAATGCAATTGGAAATGCAAGAAGCGCCAGTGGAAGAAGATGAACCTGATGAAGATAATGAAGTGGAAATTTGTGGAACATACTTTTTATAATTGCTGCAATTATAATTTTGATACTAATATCTTCATTTATAATATTTCGACTTAATTTTGCTTCTTTGTGTAGAAATAAATTTACTGCATTCTGTAATTTTATCTAGGATGACCAAACAGATGCTGCATAGTCCGAAATTTCAATTGTTATCCTTTAACGAATTTTATTAAGGAAGAATTTGAGCGACGGCGAGCACTATTGCGTGCTCGAGCATTAATCAAGGAAGAAGAAGAATTGATAGGAAAGCAGGAAGAGGCAGAAGAAGATGAAGACAGTGAAGAAGAATCTAGCGAAGAGGAGAGTGAAGAAAGTGAAGAAGAAGCGGTTCCCAGATTGAAGCCTGTTTTCATCGAAAAGTATGGTAATTTAGGTTTTTCTTATATTTTGTCATAAGAACGAAAAAAGTAATTCATCGTAAATTATCAACATTTAGAAGTAAGCGAATAACAAAAATCGAAGAAGAAAAGGAAAAAGAACGTGCCAAAAGACAACTGCTTGAGGAGCGCGAAAGAAAAGAAAGAAGGAAGAAAGAATCTGTGAAGGTACTGCCGCATTTCTTAAGCTTTTTAATTTATTAATCTTGTCTGTTCATCATTTAAATTTAAGCTGCTTTTTGTTTCAAAAGTCTGAAAACATCATCCGCCTAATTTGTGGAAAAACTTATGCTGTCTCTTTTAGAGCATTTTAGAGAGTTTGATGTTTTCGTGTCTGTGTAAGACGAGACTTTCGTTTTTTTTTTTTTCGAAATTATAGTTTATTTTGTTTTAAGTTTAATTCTTGTAGTTAGTGGAAGAAGTTTTACGGCGTGAAGCCGAAATAGAAAGGCGCAAAAAGGAAGATAATATTGACTTGACATCAGTTATAACAGATGATGAAAATGAAGAAATTGCATATGAAAGTTGGAAACTCCGTGAATTGAAAAGATTGAAGAGGAATAAAGAGGAACGTGATGCGTAAGTTTTGACACTCTTAATTTAATCTTTACAGCAGTTACGCTACTGTACTGCTGTAATTATTGTTAAAGAACTAAAAGTTATATACGAGAATATTTTTAGCTGACTCTATCAAAGCTGTGTCTTTTATGTCATTAACTTTCAGGCTAGCTCGAGAAAAAGTTGAATTAGATCGAATACATGGTATGACCGAAGAAGAACGAAAACTGTATTTACGAATGAATCCCAAAATAATTACCAATATGGTTAGTATTAATATTAATATTGTGTCACTTAAGCAAGCTTTCATTTTGTTTAGTTAAGAATTTAAATCAAAATTTTTTCGTCAAGCTTTTGTAGTAATTTTTCTTCTCAAAAATACTTTCATTGCTAAGCTAGTAGAGGCAGTCTCATAATCATTTGTATTCATGATTTTGTTTGCATTTGCATGAAATTTTAGCAAAAGAAAGGCAAGTATAAATTTCTTCAAAAATACTTCCATCGTGGAGCGTTCTATTTGGATGTTGAAGATGACATTTTCAAGCGAGATTTTGCTGAAGCAACTCTTGAAGATCAGTTTGACAAATCTGTGCTCCCGAAAGTTATGCAAGTAAGACCTTAATTTTATGTACGTACACTTTATCATGCGTTGCCCTAATTCTGTATTTGGTGTAAAAAGTTACCTTTGTATTATTTTTGTACTATCTTTTTCGAATAGCATTGCATTTTTTTAATAGAAATGAACGGTATGGAAATCAATGAGATTGCTTTTTTAAGGTTAAAAACTTCGGTAAGGCTAGCCGCTCCAAGTGGACACACTTAACTGCTGAAGACACAACTGATCATCAGGGTGCGTGGGCTGCTACGACTGCTTTAAGTGCCAAATTCTTAGTCAAATATGCTGGAGGAATGAAAAATAATTTCGAGAGACCAGCTGCGAAGAAAAGAAAGACAGAATTATAAATCATATTTTTCTATTGGTCATCATTTGACAGTTTGAAATGTGATGAATTTATAAATAATCTGGTTATATTTTTTGTGCTTGTTGTGTTTATTACACGAATATATCTGAAAAGCTGCAGGAACTAAGACCGAAGTACTGTCTAGAAGATATTGTGAAAGTAATTAAAGTAGTTATGTGCTACTCTACCTTCGTATTTTGCGATTTCAACATTTTTTTTTCTTGTCTTCAACTTTGTAACAAATGTTTCTTGTACATATTGATTAAAAAATTGCGCAGAAGTAAATGCTTTTTAAGTTTAATCCTTTGACGAGAAATGAATTAATATGTAGTTTTGCTTTTCCAGTAATTCATCTTGTATCTGTATGGCTGGTAATAGTAGTTCTCCAAAATGCACTCGACATTTTTTACTCTGCAGGCTTTAAAAGTTACTGAGTTTGAATAAATTACAGCTTTATTAATATATAAGATTATTATCAACGACTAGTCATCTCACCTTCAGGATATGTTAACAAAACTAGCACGTGCTAGGAATATCTTGACTGAGATTAATTGTGATTTTATGTGTCGAAACAGTTGCTACCAATAACGCTACTACATAGACTGCAGATTCTTGGGCCATTCAGTAATGCTATTTTTCGACTTCCGCGTAAGACAAACAGCTTTGGCGAGAGTCTGACTTCGAAATGAACTGTATGGAGACAATAGTTTTCATTGCGTTCATCTTTTGAGAATCCTAAAGGTACCTGGTCTGTTTCGAGAAAGTTGAAGTTCTGAAATAATGTATTTGAGGTTACTTTATGTTTGATTACCGATATGTTGTTTTATTCGCGTCGTAAATGTATGGAAAGTTATCTTCCTTTTACTATTATTATTCATCAGTAGATGGTAATGAAAAAGCGTGCGATCTAAACATCATTCTTGATGTTTACTCTGAATGAAGTAAAAGTTTACTTTATTTTTAAGGTGAAGTTTACTTTCTATTAGCTAAATAAACTTCATTTACATGTCAGATTGCTTTAGCTCTTTTGTGTTTCAGAGATGGGACGTATGAATGTATCTGTGATCCGATATTTGGAATCGCAAGACTTTCGAGTTCTTATTGCGGTATTTTTATTAAATCTGAACACGCACTTTTTTTCTGTCTACTTAACTAATGTTTAGCTTTTTTTCAGCAGGATTTAACCACTGCTTTATTAGTTTTTTCTAATTTATTTAATCGTTATTATTATTTATCGGATTGTACTAATTCGTTTTTGTCACTATTTCAAGCATTATACATATTGCTATGAATAATTGGAGGTGCTTTAGCTGATAAATTTACAGATTGAAATGGGAATGAGAAATCATGAATTGGTACCTTTGCAGCTGATTGCAGCAACAGCTAAAATTAATCGTGGTGCTGTTACACGTATTTTGGTAGATTTAGCGAAACATAGTGCTGTTGCACATGAGCGAGGGAAATCCTGTAATATTTTTTTCTCTTTTAATTTTGATTCGTAAATATTAGTGAGACAGTCATACACGTAGTGGTTACTGTATGTTTCACAAGTATTCTAGTTCAAATATTCAGTAATTTTGTATTTCACTAGGAAATTATTTTTGCTATGTTATTCAGTGCGTAAACATTAATTATGTGATATTATTCAGATGATGGATATCGTTTGACGACACTTGGCTATGATATTCTTGCTTTGAAAACTTTATCTAATCGCGAAGTGATAGGAAGTGTAGGTAATCAAATTGGCGTTGGTAAGGAGTCTGATATCTATCTTGCTGGTGACTCAGATCACAATGTTAGTTTTCACATAATTCTTCAGATACATTCTCATATGTATAGAGTCAATATCACTTGGATGTTAGTCTTTTTTGTGCGCTATTGATTCTTGCACTAAATCGTGTTTTGGCTTTCGGTCAAATTCTGTTGTGCTGGTCTCCATTTCTTCATCCTTGTCGATTACACAGCAGTTACTGAAGAATATACTTCAAAATTTATTCTCTAATACTGTTAATTGCATATATACTTGTAAATGATTAGATATACTGATACTACTACTGTTATAATTGCACTAGTACTACCTTTATTTATCATTATATTGTTGTTCTTTATATTTCGAGAACTTCCTGTGTACGATTATTCTCTTAAAACTAAAGAAGCAAGTGATTTCTCGATCACCATTAACGCCGTCGTCCGGATGAGTAGTAAACAGATTTCCATGAACGCTGTGCGAAGGAAACCATTTTATGTGTTTACGTAGAGACATTTATCCAGTCAGTAGTCCTTGAATAGGATAGTTGAACTATCTCATTCGATCGATGCCGTGAACTTCATGAGGATCAAGCAGCCAGCACAACAAAACAGCCCGAAAGGAGTACAGCCGGGGTGCCGCGCAAGAATCAGTAATGCAAGAAACAGATTAGTCTACCTATAATATTGATCGTATATATGTATGCATTTGTGTTTTTTCAGTGCATAGTGTTGAAATTTCACAGACTGGGAAGGACATCGTTTCGAAAGCTTAAAGAGAAAAGAGATTATCACAAAAAACGCAAGTCTTGTTCGTGGCTTTATCTTTCTAGCTTAGCTGCTGCAAAGGAGTTTGCTTATTTAAAAGGTTTCTTTTTTTTTTTTAAATTATAGTTATATATCAGACGCAAACTCAGTTGATTAAAGAAATTAAAACTTTTATTTTCATTCGTAGTAAAATAATTTATGAGACTCATATTTTGCTTATTGGATTATAGCCTTGTATGCTCATGATTTTCCTCTTCCGAGGCCTATTGATAGATGTCGCCATTTGGTTGTTATGGATTTGATTGTAGGAACAACTCTTTGTCACGTGCAGCATGTTAGCGATGTAAGTCGCTTCATACACTGAGCTGTGGTTTTTTCCTAATGAGGAAAATGAGCTTAACTTAGAAAGTGTAATGGCCAATTTTTTTTCCTTTCCGATGACATAGCTCTCCAAGTAATTCATAATGCTGTGGAGACTAGTTTGATCGGCTCTAAAAAGAGAGCAAAATACTAGCTTTTCTAGTAAGTTCAGGCTCATACTTATTTGTAAACCTTTTTTGTTTGCAATTTAAATCGCGTAAATTCAGGCAGAAGAACTTTATGAAAAGTTGATGGCAATTATCGTACGTCTAGCTCGATATGGGCTTATACATGGTGATTTCAATGAATTTAACATTATGTTAATTAAGGTAACAATTTGTGTTTGCACTCTTGATTTCCAAACATTTTGGAGAGAAAATAACGTTTCAGGGGGAAGAACCAATTTTGATCGATCTACCGCAAATGGTTAGCATGGATCATATAAATGCAAAAATGTATTTCGAAAGAGATGTGAATTGTGTTCGAACTTTTTTCAGGAAACGGTGCGCTTTTGTTTTTTTTAAAAGTATTTTACAGGTGTTGGTTCTGTAATAAATAGAGTGTAACATTTATTTCGATATAATTTTTTGATGTGAGGAGAGTTAAGGTTTAATTATGAAAGTGAACTGTACCCAAAGTTTGAAGAAATGAAAAGAAAGCATAATTTGGATGTTGAAGTAAGAGCCAGTGGATTCACTTCTCGAATGGCGAAGGATTTCATAAGGGTGAATATTTGTGTTTCTTATTCAATGTTTGATAAATCTACATTTTATTGAAATTAAAGTCCGATCTTCATGTTTTAAAATAATTATTTTTGAAGCCAATTGTTTAGGCTGTGGAAGTTCAGGAAAATGATGCATCTTCAACCACCACTGACGAAGGTAGCAGTGTTAATAAGTCATCTGATGCGGAGAATAGTGATCAGTCGTTTGATACTGATGAAGTAAAAGAAAGTGTGTTTGATGGCAATCATTCTGATAGGTCTTGGTTTGTGATCTTTTCCTTTTTATACCAAAAATTCTTCAATTTAAGATGGAGTTTTTGGCTAAAATTTTTCAATTCTATGCATTATTTAACTTTGCTTGACCAATCTCTGTATCTTTGTTCAGGCTTAACAGTTGGCTTAAAGAAGCGCAAGATGAATTGGAAAAGTTGCATACTAGCTCTCTACTTGATGATAATTTATGCGATTGTGATATCGAAACTGCGAGTAAGTGAAGTATATTTTGTTATTATTTTATTTAAAAATATTGGTGTCACTTGAAATATGTTTTAGAAAGATCTGCTGCTAGCGTGGAAAGAAATGTTTCAATGAATTCTGAAGTAAACGAACCACATGATTGCGTGGTTGAAGATAAAGAGGAAGGAATAATACTATCGGATCAGAATAAGATGAGTACGAGATCTGTTTTTAGTATTGGATCAACAATAGCACCAGAGGTATGTTGAGTCCAAAAAAGCCAAACAAAGAATGCTCAAAGTTTCAATGAGAGTCTACAGTCTTGTGATTTTTGGTAAAAATAATTATTGTATTCTTGTATTTTAGTTTGGTTTATTAGGCATTAGTTATAATACATCATTACTGTTCGATGCAAGTTCCTCGCTGTTTCTGTGGTAACACTTCAAGTTCACCATTGGTCGGCTTAGCATTTTTAGATTGTTCGAAAGCGTGTAGCTGCAGAAGCAAAACTGAAAGATAAAGTACCGTTACGAGTGAAAGGAAAAGCTAGTGCAGCAGTTCGACAGAAGAAAACAAATGCAGATATTATTAAAGAATTTGCAATATGGGATTTCTAATATATGGTTCTGTTGTATTTGAAATCTTACAGTTTTTTGAATACATTTTGTTGTGTAATTAGTACTGTTTTATGAATTTTGGGAATTAACTGAGAGCTTATGTTCTCCGTAAGTGGTCCTTATTAATAACCTATTTCAGGACTAATGTTTAATAAACTTGAATCTGTGTTCTTTGCACTTCTATTTATGGTTATAACTGTCTCGTTAATTTTTTAATTTTAAAAGTTTACGAAGGTATATTTGCGAAAGAGATGTAAAGATACGATGATGTATTTCGAAAGAGATGCGAATTTTACGACAATGTGTCTTTTTCGAAATACGCTTTCGGAAAATCTACATTTCTTTTGAAATGCATTACATTTCTAGCCTTGAGTACACAGGTTCGTTACGGCTTTCTTTTGGAACCACTCTTCTCAAAATATTGTGTGAAAAAATATGAACAAAGGCTCTTGCTCTTCAAGTATTTCGATCCCGGATAATGTTGAGGTGATACATTTTGACTTTAGATCAGGATTTTTTCAAAGCTTTTCTTTGTGGAGGTTTGTCAGGTGCACTTTTGTAAGTGTCATGTGTCGTAAATCTACTCCGTAGAAGTTTTTGATTCCAAGGATTTTCAGTTCAAACTTGAATCATTCGTTCTTCCGCAGTGTTATTTAGGGGATTTGAAATCTGTTATGATACCTAAGGGTCTCATTTGTGATCGAGTCAAATGTCTTGCTCGGGAAATTGTTCAAGTAATTGGTGACCAAGTTAATATTTTCTTTTTTCAGTGTCAATAATTTCAAAAGTCAAGTATTTGCGTGTGACCATTGTTTGAAACACTGATCGATAGTTTTTGTGATAATTGTGTAGTGGAAAATGGATTTTTGTAAAAAGTTTATTATTTGTATGGTTTGTTTCCTCAATTTAATTGGTTTTATTGTTGTTCCAGCCACTTGTGATGTTGTGTGTCCTGAAAGGTTCCTACCGATTTTTCACAGAACTGGTGGAAGAAATGATATCTGCACGGGCTTCCTGCTCTCATTTGTTAGAAGTTGATTTTGTTCGTATAAAGGCTAGTAACATATACTCGAGACTTACATTTTTCTTCATAGTTGTTAAAATTCCTTATATATCTGTTGCAAATTGAAGGAAACTGATACCTTGGCAAATGAAAATATATTTATAGTAATGATTGTTGAATAATTCATTAGGAAACAATATATTTTAGCTATCGTTGCGATGCAGATTTGAAGATAATGGATCTGCTACGTAATAGCATATGTTTATCGACTGATATAAATTAAAATTATTCAACTCATCTTCCTTGAGTATTTTAAGTTTGGGAATGTATGATAATTTGCTTAGCTATTACACGTTTTAAATTTCTTTAATAAGGCATAAACATTTTTTGAATGTTGATAGTATTAGTTTTGATTATTTTATTTAACAATCTACTATTAATTTTATATCATATTATTTTCAGAGTTATACGAATTCGGATCGTTCAGAAGCGTTAGAAATGATTGGTCTGTCAAATGAAAAGGATCTGGAAAATAAGAATGTCGTGGTATGATGAAATGTTTACTGGCTAAAAATTGACTAAAATAAGCTTTTTTATTTAAAAACAAAGAAGTGTCAGGAGCAAACCAATTGTTGTAGGTATTTTTCCAAATTTATTTTCAAGTGAATGAACTGAACAAAAAACTAGGTGGTCGAAGATATTGTGGATAGTGGTAGGACAATATCACAGCTGTTGAACAGACTGGAACAGATGGGTGTAAAACAAATGTGGACTGCTATTCTACTTTCTAAACGATGTGAACGGGAACATAAGGTATCTTTATGGATGTTGTGTCTGAGTTAGAAGCTATGACAACTATGGGATTATTTATGAAGAAACGATTTTTTCTAAGATGTAAAATTGTCATATACTGTTCTGTAAGCTTTGTAATATTCCATCACTTGTTCTGTTTTCAGGTACAAGAAGATTTTATAGCATTTGACATTCCTGACAAATTCATTGTTGGCTTTGGATTAGATTATAATCAGAAGTTTCGAGACTTGTCCCATATATGTGTCATGAGTGAAGCCGGTATTGAAAAACATAAAATAACGGAATAGGTCTTTGTATTGTTTAGGCTGACAAATTATAAACAGCATATAATAATCTCAGATTTTATTCTGGCTTTTAACATAATATGTGTACAATTATTGTTTCTCGTACTCTTAATTTTTTCCAGCCTTAATTTTACTTGCCGAATGGAATTGTGGTTAATTCTGTATACACTTGCTCAATGATAACCGATATAATTATTCACTGTAGTGAGATTGTATTTAAAAAATTTTGAATTAAAAATTAAGTCTTTTAATTGTAATATTTTTCATTTTTCTTTCTTCTTAATGCATGTAGCAATTGGAACGATCTCTTGTGGTAAATCCTAATTGCTGAACGTTCACATTCATTTTCTTTGCAATTTGTTCAGTTAGTAAATAATTTTTTAGTTTTGCCAGTATTATGTCTTTTCATTATTATTTTGTGTAGTCAGTATTAATTTAAAAATTTTCTTATACCTGCTTTGATATTTGCTGTGATGGATTTTTCGCATTTATTTAAATTGATATTAAAGGTTTATGAGGTTTCATGTCTCAGCTGTTGCCATATGTAACGATTGCTTAAACGCTAACGAAAAATTTCTCAGAATATAAAATGAACGTTAAATCTTGTTAATTAGTCAACAAAAAATTTGAATTTAGCAACGTGAATGGCGTCCACTTCGCGTATGATTTTAATTTGCATTTGAAATTACTGTCTGACAATCATAAGTTTTATGCTTGTGTCTGGATGAGATTGATGAATTTTAGAAGAGGAAGAGGATAGAGAGTTTTATAATGACACAGTTCTAGTGGTATTGCAATATTCTAGGTATGTGCTATCATTTAAGGTCTTGTATTATAAATTTTGACTTAAGTAATTAGTTTGATGTGTACTGCAGCAATTTCTTGAAGTAATATAATGAACGGATAAAACATTTTCTTAGGTCAGAATCTACTAAAGTGGGTTGGCTGGGGATGACTTCAATTTCAACTGTAGTTGAGAATGTCCAGTTGGTTGGGGAACAGATTTTTGATCATATAGATTTAATAAGGAAAGAAACTAACAAGTTTTTGGACAATTTTGAGCGAAATGAGCGTCACAAAGAGTTTGACGGTATTATCCGTGCTAGTCATTCGGTAAGTCAAGAATTAAATTTGCTATGAATTTGAAATTTTTGTAAAGCGTTTATTAAATTTTGTTCTGGCGCAGTTTTCATATGGTTGATTTTTTAGTTGCTGTTTGTGCATCTGGTTGACTGATTTTAATTGGCCACTTCAACTGTTGACTAAAATTTTTGCTATATTGCAGTTAGTGGAAGCAGCTAATTCTCCACTACAAATAGTACTAGCAAAAGATGACTTGCGACGACTTAATGATCAAATTAAGAAAACGACAGCTGCTTTATCTCAGTCCATGCTTGTTTCCTATCAAAAAGTGCAAATTTTGCTCTTTTACAAAAATATATTTTTGAATGAGATGAGGAGCATCATTAGTCATATATCTAAGTATATTAGCGTAAATCATTTTAATAAAAGACATTCTCTTTATATTTTCCATTTTTACAGACAGCAAGAATTACATAATATTTATCAGTTATAGATATTATTTTCGATTATATTTCAAAAAATTTTGTTACCTTGTGCTCATTATTATCAGGATATAATTTTGATACGAGCAGCATTTTATATAGATTCCAATCATGTAAAAAGTAATAATCAGCATGTTCGAACTTTAAAGGAACATGACGATTATTTGGAAGCAATCAGAAACAATCAGAAACAACAGAAAGAAATTGTAGAATCAGCAATTAAACTACAACAACAAGCGTTGAAACTGGGTAATGTGAATTCAGATGATATACTCACCTCTCCGGATATATCCAATACTATTGAAGTTGATCTTAATTAAGACTCCTTAATATCTCGTTTAACTATCAACTTTTTGCATAGATTTGATCGTTTCGTTAGTTTCAGTTCCCCTAATGTTAAGGACTGATTGGCAAATGTAATCTGTTTAATCATGAGGATTAAATCTCAGGAGGTTCGAAATGTGTATATTTTGCCTAGTATATATGTATCACTCATATATCGTAATTGTTTGATCTTAAAATTTTACTTCTTTGATGTGAAATTCTATTTTTTCCAACGTTTTTGCTGTTCATGACGTAGCAAATCTGTAATTCAGATCTGCATGTCATGTACGATAAAGTTTGATCGCATAGCATGATCTTCCACTTTAAATAATTCTCTACATGTAATCATAGAATCTGTGTCTCACCCAAATTATAACATTTTATGTCCTTATGATTTTTATGAAATAAAGATTACATCACATCAAGATTTTAAGTAAGATGTATTTTCCTCTTTCTTACCTATATATATAGTCGTGCTTGCATTTCATTTGTGACACATGCGTACTCTATAGCTTTAATAATTAAAAATATGACTCCCATTGGGCAGTCTCTCAGTATGTCAGTTTTCATTCGATAAATATGCATCTTTAATTTTTTAAATTTTTCTAAAGATTTGTTCCAAGATTACAGTAAGATGGCTAAAAAACGTTCATCGCTTAAGAAAAATCGTTTGGGAGCTGGTTCAGCAGGAAAGGATAAGCAACCTTTGAATGTGACTCATGGGGCAAAGAGAAGTATGTCATTTAGGCGAGGCGAGCACAGCTTGAATCCAGGTGATATTAAGGTGTTTCTATCGTCTAAGCACAGAATATGTTTGTGTTTGAGAACTAATGAGACTTCTGAAAAATATAACGCTAAATTCAACTTCACCAATCTAGGTTTTGCTCAACCGAAGTGACGTGTTTGTAGGTGTAGAAGTAGTTATTGTCATTTTTCTTATTTCAGATCGCAAATCTAAAGGAGACCATTTCCGTTCCAAAGCTACTATTAATAGATTGCTCATGTACAAAAATTTCAAGCCAATCAGGTTAGTCATATGTAAGATATACTTCTAAATGTAGTTTTTCAATGTGCATTTGTAATAGCCTCAATTTTTCTTACTTTAGGGATGCAAAAGGCAAAATTATTAGAGCGGCACCTTATCAAGAAAGACTTCCTTCTGGGAGTGTTGCTAGAGTTGAACCTCATCGAAAATGGTTTGGTGAGTGAATATTTTGTGCTAGAATGCTAAAAATGAATTTTTGCGTGGCGGAACTAGCATTTACTTAAGCTTATGCGCAGTTGTCAGTCTTACATGCAACGACCTATGTGCAATTTCTCGGCTCTGCCGAGTTGCCGAACGGTTGAGCTGCCAACTAGTCGATGGTATCACAAGGCAAAAAATGGAAGATGAACGAAAAAAAAACTAAGTCTGGAATCATTAATGAAGACAAATAGGAAACAGTGATTGTTGAAAAAACTTCTGTGAAGGACATGGCAAAACACTTGATCAGTATACCGGAATCAACAAAACTAAGTACAGGGTGAGTGTAGCGAGGGTGCCAGCATACGACACAATGCGGGAATCAAGACAACAAAGAAAATCCTAATTGCTGTAGATTTTGATTTGATTTTATAGGAGTGGTTTTGATAGTGGCAGAATTCACGGTAGCCTTTTTCATGAAGTCTGCATGTATTGAATATACGTTGCTGTATAATTAATGTATTACTGGTAATAAGACGCAATATCTTGGTCTTATTGTATCTGGCATTAAAATTTAGGAAATACTCGAGTTGTTGGCCAAGAACAGCTGCAGAAATTCCAGGAAAAATTAGGACAGGCATTGCAAGATCCGTTCCAAGTTGTTATGCGACAAACTAAACTTCCCATATCATTGTTAAGTGAGAAAACCAAAGTAACTATTTATTTTGAATTTAAATGCGTATATTTTTTCATTGAATGATATCTTTGATTTTGTTTTTATTAATGATCAATATCAGTAAGTTACATTTTCTGTTATTTATCAACTGAACTTCAATGTTTCGGTATTTTTATTTTGAAAAATGTTTGTTCAAAATTGATAAAATTATTTTCAGCTGCAGCGCGTTCATGTAGTAGACATAGAAAGTTTCGAATATACTTTTGGTAAACAAGCACTCAGGAAGAAGCCAAATGTCAAAGTGCAAGATCTTGAAGTAAACTATTCTTGACCGCTTTTTACTTGTTAAGTAAAAAAATATTGTTGTACGTTGCAGGATCTACGCGAGAAAGCCATTGAACAGACGGAAAAATACGACGAAAACGCTGATAGTAGTTTGATAAAAAATGGAGATTCTGAAAGAATGGAAAATCTAAATCCACTGTTTAAGGCTGGTCAAAGCAATCGTGTTTGGGGAGAGCTTTACAAGGTCTCCTTTATTTTCTATTCTTTTGCTGCAGTTTAAAGTGTGAAATTGTTTTTTAAGAAGGGATTTTGTTGTAATGCAGGTTATCGACTCATCAGATGTTCTGGTTGAAGTGATTGACGGACGTGATCCAATGGGAACTAGATGTCTCCATATCGAGCAATTTTTACGAAAAGAAAAACCTCATAAGCATCTCATTTTGGTCATTAATAAAGTTGATCTGGTGCCAACATGGGTTACAGTATGTTGTTTAGTTGCTGTATTTTCTTCGTATCAGTATTTCTTAGGCCACTAATGAAACCATTTTTTTCTACAAGTTTTGTTTGGTTGATTTTCCAGGTGACTTTCATGTTATTAAATAGTTGATTCTGATTACAACGGCTGTCATCTTAAAACTTGTTTCAGAAAAAATGGCTGGGACTGTTGTCACAAGAAATGCCAACAGTGGCTTTCCATGCTTCTCTGCAGCATTCTTTTGGCAAGGGAACATTGATCAATTTGCTTAGGCAGTTTGCAAAACTTCATAAAGACCTTCAGCAAGTAAGTACTTATGAATAACTGCACAAGTTGCTACTCCATTTAGTTAAAATTTTGAAATATATTGTCATTATGCCTAATAATAATGATTTTTCTTTTTGAATTATTTTAGTATTATGAAAGTGTTTGCTCAGTAATAGTGTCTTCTGCAGATAAGTGTTGGTTTCATCGGTTATCCAAACGTTGGTAAATCTTCAATAATAAATACGATTCGGGCTAAGAGAGTTTGTAAAACTGCTCCAATTGCTGGGGAAACTAAAGTATATTCGACTAATATTTTTTCTTTTCAAAACATTAATCTGCAGGGATCAGAATGAGTATATCTAAGATTTCAACAAATAGTATTTGTGCGCGAAAATACTTTTATGTATTCAATTTTGTTAAAGGTATGGCAGTATGTAACTTTGATGCGTCGTATTTATATGATTGATTGTCCAGGTGTTGTATATCCGCAAGGAGATTCGGAAACTCAAATCATCTTAAAAGGAGTTGTTAGTCTTTGCTCTTTGTCATCTTCAAGAAAATGATAATTTTTTTTCACATAAATGATATCTTAAGTTTAGCTCTGCAAGGCATATTTTATGTCATGAATTCGTCATTTAAAACATTTTTTCGGTCATCATTACACAGTAGTATAACTTCAATTTTATTACATCATTACAATGTACATTCTTTGAGGGGTTTTTCGAAATACACTTTTCATTATTTTTCAAATGTTTGAAATTAATGAAACAACGACTAAGTAGTAGATTTAAATTACTTAACCTTTGAAGAATGTAGTACTTTATTAAATGATCATTTTTTCAAGCATGATATTCTTTTTTTATTAACAAGTGCACATTCATAGCTCATACTGCTTTTCTAGGTACGAGTCGAGAATGTTAAGGATCCGATTAATCATGTGCAAGGAGTTTTAGATCGTGTGAAGGATCAATATCTTATGAAAACATATTCTATCGGTCCTTTTACTGATGTCTATGACTTTTTGACAAAAATTTGCATTAAAAATGGTCGGCTATTGAAGGTTAAGGATCATTTTTTACTGTGTATTATCTTTTATTAAGGATCATTTTTTGCTGTGTATTATTTTTTATGCGACTGCACATGGATGTTCAGTTCATTTTATTTCTTTGTTCTTTTATTATTTCTATTTCCTCATTTGTTATACATTCTTAGGGTGGTGATCCTGACTGGAATACAGCTGCGAAAATCGTGCTCAATGATTTTCAACGTGGGCGCATACCTTACTATGTACTTCCACCGGGGTGCGAACCGAAGAATGTAGCCGAGTGCAATGAGCATTTGGTTGTAAAATTGGATTAATAATTATTAAAGACCTTGCATTACTAATGATGCCATAGAAGAAAACTACACATATGATCTTATTTGATAGCAATATGTTCAGTGTTGCTAATTGATATGTGACGAGACCTGAAGTATGCTCGGAAAGTGAAAAGTTTTATTTTATCTTTGCTTATGTGGTCATATTAATAAGAAAGAGTGAAAGCTTCAGGATACTGGAGAAACAAATGATTTAAATACTGGTAATGATGCTGGTGATGAACAAAAAGATGAAGATGATCATGACTCTGCACTCGAGGTTTAGGATTTGAAGCTTTTATCGATTTGTATCATTTCGCTGTTCCTCTAAATTTGAAGTATTTTTCAAAACTTTTATTCGAACTTTATAAGTGAAAAAAAGTTATGAAAGCTTGAAAGGACCAAAAAGAATTTGATACATTTAATATTTTCTTTGCAGAATTCTGAATTTGATCACGACAGTGAGGATGAAGGAACTCTGACAGATATTGGTTCAACATGTAGTGGCCTCACAAATCTGTCTGAACTAGATGATATGAGTTTCGATCTTCCAGAAGCACCTGAGGGCGCTATCGATGCTGACAGTGAATCTGTGGTAGACACTCTATTAATCCTGTGCAGGTTTTTTAGATCAGGGTGATTCCATATTTTGAAGCAGTGTTTTATGCCTTATTTTTGTTTTTAGAGGCAAGAACATCCGAAAATTGAAAGACGTCGAACTCGAGGAAAAAGAGCGGGAAAAAAATTGACAGAAAAACGTAACAGATTGAAACATGGAAAACAGATTGGAAAAGTAATATTTATCTGTCAGATAATATCTTGCTTTAGTGTTTTTTGCGTCTTTCTTTAATGACAGTTTTATTTATATCATTTACAGTGCGATGGGGTCATTCAGTTTGGCTTATCTGATTCAAGCAAATCAAGCAAAAATATGTGGCGAAAAAAGTTAGAGAAACGCCGACGTGTCAAGCATCAGCAGTAACTTAATGTTTTCAGTAATTGTTATTCGTGAGTGGCTAATCGAGCTCATTTGTATTTGTTGTAGTTGTTTGGTTATGAATATATTCGATATGTAGTATAATGATTTGTGAAAGCAAAATTTCTGAAACAAGACTACCTATTGTCACATTTATGGATAAAGATTATGGGATTGGGTTGTGCTAATAAATTACTTTGTAGTTTTGTGTTACAAAGAAGATTAATAAATATCATTTAAAGTGAATGCTGACTGATTTAGGGTACTACCAATATGTGCAGTGGATCCATCTAGGGTTCATATGGATGGGTATTTACCGGAATTCTTATGCCGTTCGTGATAGATATTTTGGGGTCTGTTCGGTTATTTTTTTCTATTTGGTGTATTGATTTTATCGGAATACAATGCGACTCAATTCAATCATTGTTTATTTGTATTTTAACTTCACAAATATGGGACATAAAACAAAAAATGACAAGAAAGAATGCAGGCTGTTATGGTTGTAAAGGATTGCTTCTCTAGATTAATTTGTAAAGCTAGAATTTGTTGTAAATTTTTACTCCAAATTTTGCCACACAATGTCAATATCAAGATTTTTAATATTATTTCCATTAAAAGGTATGTTGAGTGCACCTTATAAGTAAACTACTTATAAACAAGTACGATAGTATGGTTACTTGATAAGAATTAGGAAACTATGTACAACAAATATGCATAATTAATTCTTACAAAGCACTATGTGCAATTTCATATTAATTTTAATTTTACTCTGTCGATACTTCGTGTTGCTAACAAACTATATTTACTAACAGCACTTTTTGTTTTGTAATTTGCTTAGAAATCGGAAATAAAGAAGAGTTAAATTTAAATTACTTGTAGCCTCAAGTCTTGTCATCATAAGATTTTAAGGATACAATTTTCAAACAAGATTAAAATATGTACATTAAGAGCTGACTGATTCACTTGAGGATATATCAGCAAAATGAGTAATATGATAGTAAAGTAAGCATCAGCGTTGATAATATTGTTATTTTTCTGTGTGCAGCTTTTTTCATCAGAGCCTACAAAAATGATACGTCCTTTGGGAGGAAACTTTTTTTGAACTCTTTGCATTGCAATATTTTTTATAGAAAACTTCAGGATACGGTCATTTTAAAGCTTCTGGTTACTAATTTTTATGTATCCTGCAAATCTTTAATCACTGAGCAAATTAGTGTAAAGTTTGTAGTGGAATGATGTCATCTGATTGTTTTCATTTTATTCTTAGAGAAGTTTATAAAGAACGATGCATACCTTTTGTTGTTCAGGTGTATTATGTTGTTGATCCGTGATCACATTTGTATTAATTTCTTGATCGCTTTCATCATTAATTACTATTATAGTGCGTTCAGCCTCGTCTTGATTCAGTGTTGTTGTAATGATATTCTGCAAAAAAGCTCTTTTTGTTTTATTTTTATAGCAAATTTATGCATTACAAAAGATGTCTATTCTATCTCTCTCTAGACTATATAATTTAATAACTTGCATAATTTCATTCTTGGCGGGAAATATTTTTCATTCATTAATGGAACAGTTTTATTTGCGCAGAACTATAGAAATATATAGTTTTTTTTTAATTGATAAAACTTTAAGAGAATAACCAACCGTTGACATGATTTCATGCATACTTTCTGTTGTTGATTCATGACTGCTTGTTGTTTTTTCTTGTTCATCATCATGGCTCTGTTCAACTTCTTCATCGTTATGTACCTTTTCAGTTTCATCCGTTTTGAATTCAGTACTAGTTGAAGTGGAAGGAATAAAGGTAGATGTATATACGTGCTCGTCTTGTTCCGCAATATGTTCAACATCTGTTTGTGATGGTATTGGCTACAACGATGTGTTCTTTGTAATCGAAAACAATATAAGTTATGCATAGAAATATTGAATTAGAATTTAATACAAATATACTAACCTACAATTCATACTTTTCAACTATATCACTGTTAATCGATTCTAGATCATTTTGAGTCATATTTAAGTATATTCGATATTTATGCATTACATACTTACTTGTATTTGGATTTGTATAGATGTTTCAGGTTGTTTTGGTATATTATCTAGATTTTCTGTTGGAAGTACTGCACTGTTAGGTGCCGGAGGTCCTATTGGAATGTCAGGTTCTATTTTCGGAACAATCGACTAAATTTCATCAAAGATAATGAATGCATTGAAAAAATCACCAAGGCTCAACTGGTCTGATTAATTTACGACTGTTTATTCTTTATTTCATTTTTTTGCAGTATTTCCTATAGCACAAATCGCGTATAATGCTTGTGAATATCATTATGTATGATATGCTTTGAATTTTTCATTGTTTTTGTTTTTGCATAATTCAAATAAAATTATATGCTGCTACTGAAGATAACCCTAACAAATGCTGTTGAAATAACCTCATGAATAGGCGTAACTGTAGTCGTTGATATAAACTTGCTGTCGAGCTGAACGTCAAATATACGCGTAATAACGTCGTCAATAAATGTAGCAGAAGTTGTTTCTTTCATATCCTTCAAATTGATCAAATAATTCTACGTCTCAAATTATACGTTGTCTTGTATGCAATACATGTTAAAGCGTAATATAAAATATATAATACCTTATGATTCTAGAATTCACTAATACCTTTTTCATTAATCGTTGCAGTTAAGGAAATCTAAATAATCATTACAATTAGATATTTCTTTTATGCTGTCACTCAACTGGTTTTACCACGATGAGTCAATTAATTATTGCTGTAGAATGAATTATTTTAAGTTTGTACAAACCGAAGTACTGGAAGATTCCTCAGTGTTTTCGTTAGGAACAGATGTTTTCAAAGGGAGGAATTCGGAATCACTACTGAGTGCTTGCTCAGTGAACTTCTGCAAATTATTAAAAAAAAATTACTGGCTTCATAAATATTAGTCATTTGAAGTGAAAAACTATTTTGAATTACAAGAAATGATGGAATATTACTGTACACAATTTGTAGCTTCAGCTAGTTAAATTATAATGAAATATTGATAAAATGATGCCTGATCATATTTGATCGTATCAATCAGATAAGCACATTGTTCTGGTAGTGATTCCATATAAAGCTTAGCTACTTGTTGAACAACAGATGAAGACGAATTGGATAAATTGTTGCGCAGTCGTTCTTCGACACCTAGCACTTGTTTAAATGCAATATCCTGTAAATATAGCACTTCATAAAAAAATATATCAATGAGGTACTGTACATGCATAAATTATCATACGGATACGATACTTTGCTTTTGCAGCAAATTGCATAATTTTTTCATTCACATAAATAATACAATCAGATCCTTCAGTATATTAATATTATTTGGTATAAAGAAATTTATCGATAACTGTTTTTGATACAGTAAAATGTTTCATTTCCATTCCAGCAAAACTATCGTAATTTATCTGTTTTCGGTATTTTGTTCCGGCACATTTTTGCTAGCTTTTTTTGAGCAAATTATAAAAATTGAAAGTTTTTTAAATTGCTTGTATTTCAATTTGAAATCAGTTAAAAAAAACAAATGCAAAGCAATTTTCAAATTGTTAAAAAATGAAATGAGTTATGAAGTTTTAGCAATTTTTATCACAGATATGAAAATAAGCCTAAAATTATAACTATCAAAAAACGAACTTTGAAAAGGTAACCACTACCAGCACACTTTTTGTTTGATTCCGTAATGGAGCATTTAAGTACACATTCAACTGTTCTGAAATTTATCACTTAATTAATTGACATAAACTTTCAAATCCTATAATTATTATTGTAGATATGAAGTTAGACGTGGACGACTTACGTGATCTCTCCTTTTCGATGCTTTTTTATCATATCACAACTAAGAATGATTCAAAATTAAGAATAACTTTCCCTTCAAGCACTAAAAATTTTATTTGATTACCTACCAGAGGTGGTAGTTCATATTAAGTGCACATTGAATCTGTTCATTTAATAATTATTTCGTTTGAGGAAATTCAACACTGAAATGAGTCTAAGTTGAAAGATTACAGACAAATTGGCGCGATGCTATCGAAGAATGAAAATGGATTCACAACAGCTGCGTGTGAAGAATCGAGTTGTAAAGAAGCTTCCTTAGGGTAACCACAATCGTTGGAGCACTTGTTCACATAGTCTACTTTTTGACCTTCGGCGCATTCATTCGCTATTCGGAATTCTTCAACGACAGCAAATATTCATTCTTATGATACCATAATCATCATTACTATTACTCGTTTTAGTATCACTTTCATAAACGAAGATAAACAATACTAAAGTTATTATTGTATTAAGTTTATTTTTATTATTATTGTTATTGCCATGATGTAGTAATCATAAATTTGATGAAAATATCATAATATTTTAATGTAAAAATAGCAATTAAATATTTACCTTCTAACTTATCTTTGCATATATACGAGCTGAGTGCTGTCATTTCCATCAAGTCCTGTCGCTCTCTGTCATCGCATGATTGCGAGCAACCCATCAGTACCTCGAAAGAACTGCAAGTCGCAAGTATGCAAATTCCGATAATTATTGTGCAAAATGTATGTTAACACTCTGGTAATTATAAATTATTGAAATAATTAATTAATTACTTTGTGCAACTTTTGATTACATTTCAACTTCAATTTTGCTATATATAGATTTTTTACTTTTTTCTTTTTAAATATAGTAAAATATGACGTGACAATCACTTTGGTGTATACTTAAAATGACGGAAAATCATCAATTACATTCTCTTTTGAAAAAAAACAACAACCAAAATAGGCATTTTAAAATTACTGTAAGAAAAAAAGCTTTTTAAATTATTAATCTAAAAAGACCATTTCACTTTTATGCAAAACTTGAGATAATAATCATTGCTGTCTGCATAATATTTTGAATTTCATAGCAATCATCAACGATGTCATCAGAAACTGCGTCAAATTGTTGAATCTTGACCAGAATTTTTGAAATTTATGCCCTTTTAAATTAATATGCCAATTATTAGACGCAACAATTTCAACTCTTTATGCACTTACTTTAGTTTTTAATTTCTTCCTAATTATCTTGTATGTTTTTCAACTATTATTATCATTAATATTACTGTTTATTATTATTATTATTTGCATCTGTAAGCTAGAAATGAATTACTAGCAAAATTCTTCGAAATTTAAGATAATTGTTTGAAAATTGCGCAAATTATCGGCAGCAAACACAAGCGACCCGGGCTCTAAGCAGTTGTTTAGACATGCACTTTTTGTGGTCACCTTAGGTTGCGGAGGAATTGGCGCCAAAATCGGAACTAAATAAATTAATATTAATAACATTAACATTTCAATTGTTAACTTACTCTAAATTAGTATTTGTAAAATAGTTTCAAATGTCTCTTTTGGAATGAGCATGGGCTCGTCGTCATAATAACTTCTAAAGGAATTGTAGAATTAGTTTTATTTGCTATGGAATCAAATCAGAGAAATTTTTGTTTAAATAATTTGATTTATGTTATTAAGTTCGCAAACTTCAATTATTGATATTAATTGTACAATTTGCATAAAGTATTTATGGAATACGGTAAGCATTTCTTAAATGTAATTAGTTTAGTAATTTTAATCGTAATTTTCAATATTTTTATATGTAATACAATGATCAATCGAAAATGTCTTTAACAAAAAAACTTCAGTCTTTTGTTTTACTTAAGCAATTTTTTCATTTTACTTCATTTACAGACTATTTTCAAAGAAGTTATCAGAAGTGCTATATTTGTGCTGTAGCTAATTATGCTATGTCATACTGTGGTGTGATTGTTAATTACCCTTGGAGTCAAAGGATACGGTAGTGATAAATTGTGAATTTCAGCAATTTTTCCTTCACAAGAAATAAGACGTAAAAATCGTGCAGAAAATGTGAATATGAAAAAAATAAAGTTGTGCCAGAAATGGTACATTGCCAACTAGTTTTCACTATTATTGTTACATGAAAAACAGTGTTATTATTGTCCTTCAAACAGTCATTGCACAATAAATGTCAATTTTGTTTCTTTTTGTACACAAATTTCATCTTAGAAATATTTACAAATAATCAAAAATATGCAAATTTTGTTTACTTCTTCATTTGCATAGTAATGTTTTGAGCTATATAAGACTGCTATGCTTTCTTTGATAAAAAAGATTAGAAGGGAAGAGAGATATTCAAATTTGTTGGTATTTGAAGGACGAATACAAAGGTAGCAAAATATTTGAAAAATTTTTGAAGAGAAAGTAAACTTTAAGTATTTTTTTAAACATTACAATGAGCTTCAAATAATTGAATAACTATTTATTTATTTTTAAATTATTATTTTTGATCAAATTATTAATGAAAACGAACTAAATTTTGCCTCAGTAACAGTTAGAATATACTTTATTAAAACTAATACTAAGCCAATAAGTAAAGACTGTGGAATTGACAAGTTCAATCCATTAAATATTGTGAGACTTTAAATTGCTTAACTTAATAACTTTAACAATTTGCATCAATTAGACTAACTGATTACAGTAATAGAGTTGTGTTCATGTTAATGCAATACTAAATGAGTTTAAATATATTTATTAATTTTAAAATCAGAAATTTTTCTTAAAAAACATAAAAAATTTACCTATAAGAGCCATAAATGGTAGGCAGTAGCAAAGAGTCATTTTTACACTTTCTCCAACACACTAAGAAATCAGTTGTAAGTGGGCAAAATACTGAAATTGTTTTCTGTACTCGACCTGCTTTTCCAAACTCTCTTCAACTGTCAATTACCTAAATGATAAAAATAAATTCATTTAATTCAAATAAATATTTACACAAAACATTCTCAAAGTTGCAAGCACTCTTATTTGAACAGCGTTCTGATCAGCTAACTTATCACTCCTACACTCACGTAAAAGTGATAAGTTCTTCTAGCTGTTCATTCAAGATGTTATCCAGTTATCATTAATTTAACATTTATTATAGCTTTACTGTCTCAAAACATTTCCAAAACATAAACAAAGATGAAAGTTTTGATTCAGAATCTAAAAAAAATTCAAACTTCATTTGTGTCAAACACATTTATTTAAATGCAACCAAAAAACAAGTAAAAATAATTTGTTCGTAAAAGAAATCATAATCGTTATTTACTTATTTATAATCAAGTAATGATTTTTGACTTGAATGACTATGAACAAATTTACTGAGAAAATCCTATTAAAACTTATAAATATCTGTAAATACTATCGAAGTCAAAACTTCCACGTTCTTTCACGTTTTAGAAAAATTCCTTCCAGCGCAAAGAACAAAATACGAAGTGTGATAGAAACATGAAAAGATTGTTAATTTATAAATATTATTCCATTTAATAATAAATGAAACATAAATTTAACATTTGGGTAAAAATCGCAGAATCGCAAGCGCAAAACTAAAATATAGCATTAATTTTGTTGAGAAGGTCGTTGCATTTTGTAAAAAAATACTTTGTATTACCTCCGATAATGGGTGTGTAATACAGGTAAGATATGTAATGATTGCTGTACTTCTTAAAGTGCCAATGTATAAAGTTATGTTATTGACGCTTAGTTTGCCCTAAATTTCATACCAATTCTCAAAAACAGTACCAAACAAAGTTTTGTATTTTATTCTATTTCATTCTGTCGTGCATTCTTACTTTTATCAAATCTCTTATCAGTACATATCATACAATCTGCAATGTAATCAAAAAATATCCGAACTTTGCATGCTTATAAAATCGAAAATCAATTACTCTCTGATAATTAAATCTTATTCCTTAAACGTGAAAATCTGCATTTTTGAACACAAAGCAATAATTTTTTCTAAAATTACAACAGTATTATTTCTGGAAATTATTGATAGCATTTACATTGTGCAACTGCGCAATTATTCTTTCTGTCTTTTGGCAAATTTTTTTGATTCTCAATGATTTTCTTTGGATCTGTGAGTATTTTTGACTGAGAAAGAAAGAACTAAAATGTATTTAAATTCAAAAAACTTTCCCTCATTAATGCTGTGAATCTCAGTGCAATGTTGACGAACTGAAAATGATTACTTCCAGAAAAGAAAAAATTAGTTTTTCTGAAAAATAATCGTTTTATTTCTGAGTTCGTTTTTACTCGAAAATTCGTACAAATTTGCATTTAAAATTCGTTCAGTTTCAGTTTATGACTGCCACATACAACACAAAGTGTTACTTCAGAAGCAAAGTATCATATATTACAATAGAAGCATCGAGTGAATAATTGAAAATACTCATCATTCAGCAATAATCTTTTGTTTATCGCAACAATGAAGCAAGTTATCGTAGTGAACTGAAATCACATTAATTAATTATCTATTGAGGGATATTTGCTTACGGTGATATTATAAGATACTGTAAAAAAGATATGATTGACTGTATAATCTGAGAGTAATCAGTTTCTTGTGACTGTATTCAGTGCTAAGCAACCAAAAATTTAAAAAAAAAGAAAAAAGTAATGATTGTGGTTTGTTCGGAAAACAGTGCGCAAATATAATTTTTTCCTTTTTAATATTTTTTATTGTTTCAAAAATTTTTTGCTTTTCAGCATGCAATCATGATAATGGTAAGACAATTTGTCTTTTATTAACTTTATTTTCCTTTTTAATTTCAATTATTTTAATTTATCGTATTAATTACTGGCATTACTGTATACATCTCAATAATTGTTTATTTGTCCACAATAAACAAACTAACACTGTAGAGATACAATTTATTGATTTATACTGATTGAAGTTATTGATCACCAAGCAAGTTGCATATTTCATTTATCTCCTTTAATATCTAATATCCCAAATATTCAAAAATGAAATAAAAGTAATACAGTCTTGTTTATTAAAAAAATTCATTGTAGAATATTCAAAAGCTGATAATTGTGGGTATTTTGCCAAAACGACTGTTATTGCAGTCTTGTGTTGCAGAGTCAAAGTATCAAAGATACTTATAACTGAGAATGAAAACTAAACAAAGCAGTTTCTGAATTACTTTCAGTTGAATGTGTCGTTGTTTTTTCGCACGTTTGAAGACAAAGGTCAGATAGATAAACCACGAGATGCAATTCAAAAACGTGCTAAAATATTTAAAAATGAAGCAATTTGTGGTAGGGAAACTAAGTCGAAGATGTCTTCCAGGAAAACAACGACACAAATATAATTAAGTTACGCCGAAATGTGAATCATTGCATTTGCTGCAAATACAGTGCCAAATTTAGAGAAGTTAGTCTAATTGCTCATGTTTTTCTTGCCTTTCCATCGTTATTTTCTTTTGTAATTACAGTTCGTTGCTGCCATCTAATTAGAGCTAACAGTTAACTTAAGAGTGAATTAATTTCAGTACTGTCTGCATTAATTGATAGTCACAACAAGATGTTCGAATAATATTGTATTGTGGTGTGGCAGACTGTAAAGAAATCAAATTCGCTCTAATGAATATTTCTAATTTGGTCGAAAGCATTCTAATCAAACATTTAGAGAAAGAGTATTCTCTACGAAACTTATTCAAATCACAAATTTTAGCAAAGTCCAAGAGCTAATTTGATGTTAAGTCATGCCGTTTTGCTTAAAAGTTTAAGACAAAAGATGAAAGTGTAGCGAAGAGTTTACTGCCAGATAAATGCTTAATAAAAATAACACTGTTTAATACGAAAATATTGTTAAAACTATTAAATAGTGAAATTGTTATTTGTCATTGCAGAATAACCATCTTATTACATTGTTAAAGGTAGAAAGCACTTACTTGACATTACTGCAAATTTGAAAATGAATAAACAAATTATCAAGATTCTGGTTTTTAAAACTATGCAAACAAGCATTCCTTGAGAACAAAGTTACGAATTCTGCGAAACTTTTTAATAATATTCCATTTGTAGATAACAAGCAAACAAAATTGCGGGCTGATTGGTGTAAACAATTAATCACTTTATTAGTTAATCAGAATTAGAATAACTATTCGGAAGAACAGTAATATCGATTTGCAGATATGCAAAGCATACTTCTGTGATCAGTAGATATTATTATTACTCTTGTTGTAATTGTTATTATTGTGATTACTATCATTAATTATTATCATTATTAGTAATATTTTAATCAGTATTACCAATAGTGGTATTAGCATTATTATGTTATCGCATTTTTTCAAAGCTATTGCACTTGCAAAGATTAATTTTATTGCTTAAAAACGATAAAAAATTGAGAATTAATAGAAAATTGTAAGGCAACATATTGTAATATTTTGAAATATATTGTTCGGAGGTTTTGTTGCTTGAACAATTTCCGATCTATGTAAGCAAAACTAATTCTTGTTTACTAACAATAATGCTGATTCAATTGATGAACTAATAATGATGTTAATATTTGTGACAAACAATAACAGTTATGGCTTATTAACACTCACAATAATAATGATAATAATAATAATAATAATAACAATAATAACTGTAAGAATATTTTGATAATGATTGCAACTGTGATAAAAATTGTGTAAGTGCTGATCATGATAATAATATAATAAAATAATGCTATGGAATAAATATGATAATAATTTTAATAAGAATGGAATAAACATTGCCAATAATAAGAATAAAAATGGTCAGAAAAATGATAAATGCATGAATTAAATACAATATTAATAAGATTTTGCGCGAGAAACTCTGCCTCTGACAATCAAATCAAATAAATTGAAGCATCAATTTTGCAAGTTTAAAAGGGCTCAAAACAAAAAGGGCGGTGATAAAAATTCAACTGCAATTAATAATAATATTTTCAAAAAAAGAGTAAGTTTTTTAATACCAATTATTTACAAAGAATTATACAAAGTAAACTTAAGTGATAATATTTTTAAAAGCAAAATTCAAAATTATTTTTCAACAAAAATAACTTAAAGAAAAAAACTTTCTTGTTTTGTTGAAATTAATTTATTGACAGTAATTAAGATGAAAATAATTTAGCTCATCAAATTAAATGTATTTGAATTGACATATGACATACTGCAATCATATTTTTGCAAATATATCACAGAATTAAGTTGAATATAGTCAGAAAAATTGTATTAGCAAAATTAATTTATTAGTTTTAAGTCTGAACGAATTCACTATATTTACTTAATTATTTATTTACATATCAAGTAATTAATTTCAGCGTGAAAAACACATTAGATTAAGTTCGAATTGAAATATTTCAAGTGGCTTTCAAATATTTGATAGTAAAATTTGATAACATGTTTCTGAAGAGCTTTCCATATGCATGTCTGAAACTAGAAATCATTCAAGTATGGCTATTATTGAAATTACCATCCATTCTCAGAATACTATTTTTATTACAATATAATTAAGTGAATATAAATTGAAGAGAAATATTCAAATAAATCAGCAATTTTCAATTTGTTTCTAAATGAAAATTATTGTGAATTTTTTATGGAAGGTCAATTAATCTGTATTTTGGGTTCAGTTTTGTATGAATTTAAACCTTTAGCTTGCGTATTATCAAAGAAATGACGTTACTTATGTGTAGAAAAAACGTTGACTTAAAGTTTTGTAAAGTTAAAAAATTCCTTAAAGAAAATTGCCTAATACTAAAAAGAACGCACAAAATTATTATTACAATATTAAAAAAAATGTTAAATGAAGAAAAAATATATATATGAATG